ATTCATTCTCGTTTGCCGATGGCATACAGACTTCTCCTCTTCTGTTCCGGATTCTGGAAAGCTCTCTGAATTTTTAACAATTTTTAGTATCCAAATTGTTGTTGGTGGCGCAAATGTTGCCGACTTTCTCCATACTTTTAGTCCTCCGAACCTAAATAGTTAGTGGTTAGGTTAGTGTGTAAAGTTTGTGAGTGAAAATGGTGACGGAAAGCTCACAGTCGGTAAGCAGAAGGATTTTTTTTCTTCATTTCATGAGGTTTCGCTCTTCTGAGACGGGCCGTGGTGCAAACTTTCTCTGCATTGTATCGATCGATTATGTATGTATGGTTGGTTCCCTGTTGGTTGTGGTGTCTTTCGCTCGAATCATATCCGGTAGGTAGCTAAGTGAGGTTTCGAATGAAAGGTGAAACGCTTATCTGGGGAAAGAGTGAGTTGCTTTCTTTTTTGGGGTGAATTATTATGGAGGCAGAGTGAGTGAGTTTTCACCTGCTGGACTAAATCAATGGAGATGAAGAGATGGTATGGTTTTGTGGTTTGGTTGGTGGAGTGTGGGTGGGGATTAGTGGAAGGAAAGAAATGGGAATGGAGAAACTTGACAGATTGGGAAAATTGCTTGTTTCCAGGAATTTTAGTGCTTTTGAACTATGTTTTTAGGCGACTGTGAGGACAATAGCTTGATTTTTTTCAAAAAGAATGTTATATTTCGTTTACACGCTGTAAACTTCTTTAGCAAAAAGTGTAGAAAATAATTTTATTACTTGATTGTAAAATTTTAATTGGAAAATGTACACTTATTTCTTTGAGTACATACATAGAAAATATAAAAATTAGGAACAAGAAACAAGACGCAAGTCGAATAATATCGTTAAAAGTACATTCATAATAGAATACTTGGCCAATAGCCATCCTCTCAATTTGCATTTGCTTGGGGAGGGTGTTATTAGCGGATGAGTTGATTACAGCCCGCAAAATCACTAATAAAGAATTTTGTTAAAGAATTATCAGTGCAGATCTCGAATCCATTAGTGTTTACCACCATACCGAATTGGTAAACACTTTATTTTAATGCATAATGCGATATAATATTTGCACATGTCAGTTCAGTTCTACATTCCTCGTGGGTTAAAACTATGCAGAGTAATATGAACAATTATGTTTAATGTGCACCAAAAACCGGCTCTTGTCTCAGATTTTGTTTAACCATCTCCCTCCTACGCCAACTATCTATTATTCTTTTATTCAATAATAATTATGTGCAAGTTGTCGTCCAATATCTTGCGGAATCGTAGATACCAGTGGCCGCGGAAGCCGAGGGGACATTAACATTGTAAGTTAGGGGAGGGGTTTATATATTATGGGCAGATGATGCGGGCATTGTCCCTCTGTCCCCACCCTTCCGCGGCCACTGGACATACGACTGGCTGGTGCACACGTACGTAAATCTGTACATATAATTGCATAAGCCGGGATCCGCCGACTAGACAAAAGCGAATCAGCCACAACAACAACTTGCATAACAATTATGCACGCTTTTGCATCAGCTCCATAAAAGTAATAGGTCGTCTAAAAGTTAAATTGGTTAGTTTGCTTGGGCAAAAAAAGGAGCAGATTAGGTTTGCGAGAGACTCACGTCTGCAGAATAATAATAAAAATAATCCATGATTCCATTCCATCCTAATAATATTGCATTTGGACTGCATGCAAGCAAGAGATAAGCGAATTACTGCTCGTCCGTGACCATGTTATCGTGTTAAAAAGCTTTTCTTTATGTATGCCGTACACATAAAAGTAGGTATACACACATACGCTTTTAGTGCAGAAGATTGGCATCAGGTTCCATTATTGTTCTTCATCGATTCATAAGAGAATTGTCATTTCAGTTCATTCTGATGTTGCAGTGCATCGCATATTCCAAACTGATGATGACTAATCCAAAGATTTTAAATGGGAGTGAAATTAGATTCCAAATCGAATTGTGACCATGCTGGGTTTGTTGCCTGGATGGCTGGATGGACGAGGAGGGTGCAGATCAGAATGTGTCCCACTAGGATAAATTAACATCAGGATCAGTCCACTCCTCCTCCTTCGGCAAGAGGATTCTCAGGCACATGCAACATTCATTTCATTTCCAACACAACTTTTCCTCGGATAAAAATTGTATCTGTACTGTAACTACACTTGTCCTCGCAATATCGGATGTGGGACAAATTCAATGCATGAATTCTCTCTTTATCTCTCCAGCTCAATGGTCACTTATTGTCGCCCCAAATAGACTTTCAGTCCATTCCAGCCATGTAAATGTATGCATTTAGATGTAGGTCGCAACTTGTATGTGAATGGAATTGGAGGCACTTTCTTTGCCGTGGCGATGGCATTATTCCCAATCTGTCCGAACTTCATAAATTATTCCCTTGGCTGGCTTGTGCCAGGCCAGTGATCGAGTCGAGTCTCCCTTCCTGCTGGATGAAGTGGGCAGGGATTGCCTGCCTCATTTTTCATCAACTTTCATCGTTTTTCCACTTTTGTAGTAACAAAAATATAAAATAAGGGAGGCCGGGCCCCTGCACGCAGCCTTAACACATTCATGAAAAGAAGACTGCATGTAAATAAAATATGGGGGTGGTGTAAAATCGTCGGGTTCTCATTAAAAAATTTGGTATTCTCATTTATCGTATGCCCCACAAGGCGAGGCGATGATGTCGATATTAAGCAACGGTTTCCCTAATTTGTTTGTCCATGTTGTTCATTCATCATGTCGCGTATTTTAGATGGACAACGTTGATTGTTGAAATTTTACAGTTAGGATGTCTGTCTGTCTACGCGATGTCCAATAAAAGTCATTCGCCTCGTCCATTGTGGGAGATGACATGCACACAAAATTTGTCATTCACTCTCCGCCAATTATGTACAGATAGAGATACGTGCTCATTGACATACCGAATTCATTAAATTTATTTGTCATTGTCACTCGTGAGTCGAGTCCGTGTGTCACTTCTTGAATGAAAAAAAATGAGGATGAATCTTCAATGGTTGGGCAAAACACACGCGTATTATTCGTTCATACAATCATACCGTTAAAGTCAGGAGGACCATCTGCAATGCAATATCAGAAATCAGTGGCCGCGGAAGCGTGGGGACAGTCTCCCCACGGATATTTGATGTCACCATCATCTCCCCATGTCAGATAAACCCCTTCCTCCCCTATTCTACAATGTTAATGTCCCAAGGCTTCCGCAGCCACTGTCAGAAATATATGGGAAACGAAGAAGGGTCGAACCCCCTCTTTTTCTGTATCTCTCTCTCTCTCTACCAGATATACATCCAAAGTCACTCTCTTTTATACTTAACAAGCTCTAATTCCCCATGTGTGCATTTGTCATGTTCATCTCTCCTTGTTTCTGCAGTAATTAGTTAGCAACGAGGGTTGTAGATTTAGATGAGGGCCTTCATTGGAGTAATTCCCCAAAATTATTTTTAGGATTATTTCATTTTCAGTACATAAAACTATTTGTTTTATTCCGAAATCTCACGGTCAGCCTGTTTAAACAAGCACTTTTTCCCACCCACACCACAAAATTAGACAAACATCACGAATTTTTTATTTGCCTCTGCCGTCTTCTTAAATACAGAATGGAATGACGCGACCATAAATAAGAAGAAAAAACACAAGGTTTTTTTATCCATCTCGACGTGGCTGGCCCATTATATTATGCACTAATCTGCAGACATGTCGTCGGTCGGGAAAGACAAACCCAGTTTTAAAATAGATGCATAACTTTGGAACGTCGCTGTAATAATAAGTTGGGTTTGGTTTGGTTTTAGCGTTTCGTTTGTTGGGTGTGTGATCATTCATTCACAGAAGGGGAGAGCAATAAAATGAAATTAATATGTAAATCGAGACATAAACGGTACGTACGTATGTCACCGGCGGCGTCCTATCGGATGGACGGAGAGTTGTGGAGTTGAAATTATTATCAAGCTGTAACAGTGACAAACAATGCGGAATATTTTTCATTATATTCGAGCAGATAGAGATCCGACCTCAAATCGGTCGTAAAAATTTCATGAATTTACCCATAAAATTGTAACAGCTTTGTGTAATGTCAGTTTCTATCATTATGAAATATTGGATAGGAAGGAAGATTTAGCGGATATTAAGCAATTCATGGATTACATCCGCCTCCTCTTTATAATTGATTGGAAAGGTTTTTTGTGGTTTGATACATACATATTAACGTGGAAATAGTCAGTTTCCGACATTAAGTATGGAAGCAGTGGCTGCGGATAGACATCTGGGGACATTAACATTGTAGGACGCGTTTATATAACATGGGCGGATGACGGGGACATCGAACAACCTTGGGGACATTGTCCCACCGTAATTACGAGAGAAGCCCTACAATGAAACTTTCACATTGTGCCATAAAAGTAAAACTGACATCTGCATCTATTGTCGCACTAAATACGTAATGGATAAGTGACCAGGGAAAAAGGAAGTTGGTTAAATTATGGCACAAATACAATCTCTGCTTTCTATATTCATTATCAGGAATTGGTTATCTTCTCACCCAAGATAAACCCTCCACTAGACCTTCTGTCATGCCATACATATTTGGTTTACTAACGCATAAATCAGGAAATCTCCTCCCGTAATAAAACGTGTATATGTAATCAAAGGAAAAGTATTTAGCAGAGAAACGCAAAATGTAAACACCAAAAGATGGTAACCAGCAGGAGGAAAGATGCGTTTGTTTAACCACGTACATGTGAATTCCTTCTGTTTGTAATGCTAAATAGTCGGGTTAAATGTCGCACTTTGTGCTGCAAAGTAAACAAAATCGTGTTACGCATTATTACGGCACGCGTGGGAGGAGTATGAATGAGACAGCAAAGTCCTGCTGGAGCCAGATAAAATATCTCCAGGATATGGGGACGAATTAGTTTAGACTTATCTCAGCTTCTCACAATAATCACGTCTTCTTTCTTATTGCTGTTTACAGTCGGAGCCTGGAACGGGATTGCTGAGGTAAGTGTGACGACGATTTCTCCACGGGCTAGTAATACTAATTTCGTTCGAGGTTAACTTCCTGAACGAGGAATGATAAGAGAATGATCATGTCTTTTTCAGGGCGGCACGGGCTGGAAATCTGGAAAAAGTCCTCGAGTTTTTAAAGGTACATATTTGCATATGTCTGAAATTTAAATGATAATTTGAATTAATTTGTAAGATTTTCTTCGTCTTAATTGCATCTTCACATCAAAATCATGCATATTTTAATTCAATTTTTCTAATTTTTTCCAGGGTGGGGTTGACATTAACACCTGCAATGCTAACGGACTTAACGGACTACATCTTGCAAGTAAGTAGTAGCAATTAAAGTTAACAAAATATAAACTTTTATGGCTGCAAGATGCTAAAAAATATTGCGCATATGGGATCTCTCTCTACTGGCAATTAAGTTTTATAGTAGAGGTCATCCAAATAAGAATCCTGCTTTATTATCCTACTAGGCAAAGATGGTCACGTTTCCGTCGTTCGAGAACTGCTGGAGCGGAAGGCGAATGTAAATGCGACTACGAAGAAGGGAAATGCAGCGATTCACATTGCCAGCTTGGGTAAGATTTCTGATCCATCATTTCCATCAAATTATGAATATGATCCCTCAAATTGATGGATTATCTACTCCGTTTATTAGCTGGACAGGAAGAAGTTGTTCGAATCCTCATCGAGCACGGAGCCAGCGTCAATCTCCAATCTACGAATGGATTCACTCCTCTCTATATGGCCAGGTAAATGCACAAATAAGACATGACTGACAGTTATAAATGATAGTTCCGTATATTATTTTATCTTTTCGAAATCTGCAAATGAAAATATTTATTAAATGTGTCGTGTATCTTATCAGTCAAGAAAACCATGATGGGATTGTCAAATTATTGCTGGCAAATGGAGCCAATCAGTCGCTCGCGACGGAAGACATGTTCACGCCTTTGGCCGTGGCGTAAGTATTTATCGAATTAAAAATTTTATCAGTGGCCGCGGAAGCGGTGGGGTCATTAACATTGTATGATTCAGGGGACATTGTCCCCACGCTTCCGCGGCCCCTGAATTTTATTCATCTTTGGATGAAAATGCTTATTGATTTCTCCTAAACTTTACAGGATGCAACAAGGTCACGACAAAGTGGTTGCGATCCTGCTTGAAAGTGATGTTAGGGGTAAAGTAAGACTCCCAGGTAAAACCTGATCCTTTTATTTACTTCCTACTCCCTAATAATTAATGATGTTTACTAAAAAGACGTGACATGGCCTATTAATATTTAATTTGATAGCACTGCACATTGCTGCCAAGAAGGATGACTGCAAAGCGGCCGCTTTGTTACTCCAAAGTTCTGCAAATCCTGACGTGACTTCAAAGTCGATGTTCACCCCATTGCATATCGGTGCGTAGATACATTGTTGTTCTTATGAGATGAGTTCAAAACAATGCGATTTACTTTACAACAATTTATCCTTTAAACCATTTAGCTTCCCATTACGGCAACTTGGCCGTGGCGACGCTCCTTTTAGATCGAGGGGCTGACGTGAACTTCCAAGCTAAGCATAACATAACCCCGCTTCATGGTACGAACAATTATGAAATTATTTAAGATTTTGGCAAGTAAATGTGCATAAATTTTATGTAAATTGTTTTTTTTCGAACAGTTGCTGCCAAGTGGGGGAAAGCACAGGTAAGAAAATTTTTATAAAAAAGAATCCAATTTACCTTTGCCATTAATATTTCACCTATTAATATTGTCATTCATTTCAGGTTTGTGCCCTCCTCTTGGATCGAGGTGGAAGCATTGAAGCGAAAACTCGAGATGGTCTTACACCATTACACTGCGCTGCACGGTATGTAATCATTAGACAATTTGTGTCACGTATCTACATACATAAACTTTCCCCTTAATAATGGATTGTTAATGAGTTTTCTAATCCTTTAATGCTCCCATAGGTCTGGGCATGAACAAGTTGTCGACTTACTCCTGGAGCGACAAGCCCCAATAAGTTCGAAAACCAAGGTATGCGTCACACCACATTTTTGGGAGTATAATTGAAATACAATGCATTGTTTTGTTCCTTTTGTAGAACGGGATTGTACCATTGGCGATGTGTGCACAGGTACAATAGGTGTTTATTACTGCAGCTAACTGAAGGTTGTTGCGTTTAAAAGACTGAATTTTGATGGACATGCACGAATGTGCATATAATCAGATAGCAGTATACGCAGCAACCCAGTCAAGTGTCTCATGTTTAGAGGGTCCAATCTTAAAAAATGCAAACTATACGTTTCCCTTTCCATAATTATAGGGTGACCACGTGGACGCTGCACGAATCCTTCTCTACCACAAAGCCCCCGTTGACGATGTCACTGTCGACTACCTAACGTCTCTCCACGTTGCGGCGCACTGCGGGTAAGCATTTCGACTTTTTACACATAATTAGTGCTCATTTACATATTTATCTTATCTTGTAGGCACGTGAGAATAGCGAAACTACTCCTGGACCGAAAAGCAGATCCTAATGCGCGTGCCCTCAACGGATTTACACCTTTGCACATTGCATGTAAAAAGAACCGGATAAAAGTGGTGGAACTTTTACTGAAGAATGGGGCGCACATCGAGGCCGCTACGGAATCTGGACTGACCCCGCTTCACGTCTCTGCCTTCATGGGGTCCATGAATATTGCAATTTTCTTACTCCAGAATGAAGCCAAACCTGATGCGACCACGGTCCGAGGCGAAACACCGCTGCATCTCGCGGCCAGAGCGAATCAAACCGATATTGTTCGGATCTTGTTGAGAAATAATGCTAACGTGGATTCTGCGGCTAAGGTAAATGTTTTAATTTCATGTTTGTTGTTACATATTTTTGAAAAAATTTGGATTTTTTGAAATTTTACAGGAAGGCCAAACTCCACTCCACATCGCTAGCCGACTGGGAAATGCGGACTTGGTCATGTTGCTCTTGCAATCCGGTGCGACGGTTGATGCCCCCACGAAGGAAATGTACACGGCGCTACATGTAATGACGCCTATTTTTTTTATTTCCCCCCAAAAACATTAGCCTGCCACCCAAATTCCCTCTCTAAAAATGCAACAACTTACTGACGCAAGATTTATATTTAATTATTCCAGGTCGCAGCCAAGGCGGGACAGGAGGAGGTAGTTAAATTTTTAACAGCCAAGCTTACCGATTCCTTCATTATCAATTATGTGCTTGAGAGACTCAAATCTAAGAAAGATTGTACCGAGGTGCTTGTAAATAAGAAAGTTTTGCCGGACAAACTGCTTTTGACGGATAAAAAGGTTATACCAAATGCTCCCAGAAAAAATGAGGAGGGTGAGGAGGAGGAGGAAGAAGAGGAAGAAGAAGAAGAGGAGGAACACAATTAATCGTTAAATTATGGCCCCTCCACAAAATTATTATTACTTTCACTGCCAAAAAACGTCATCATCATGTAAAACTGTGTAAAACTGTAAGATCATCATCATCTCATCGGTGCTCTCTCTCTCCGTTCGTTTTAATAGCTCAGCAAATATTAGCTTGCTCTCTACTCATACATACCCATTCATTTTCTCTCTTTTTTTTTGATTACGACGAGTTCATGTTTGTTATGAGTTAATGTCGTCCTCATTCATGAAACTGGAACACAGTTGTCAATCGTGCCTTATAAAAACAAAAAAAAATCATGAGCTCATCACTACAGACACAAATCCATCCATTCAATCCTAAATAATCGTAAGTACATTTGGTAAATTTTACACACTGAAATTGCTGAAATTTTCAATCCTCTCTCTGCCTGCCACATATTTCTACTCTTTCCACCATCACCACTCCGACCGCTGCACTTATCTGTTTATCTACTTATCTATCTACCATGTATGACTGTTGTGTGCCTTGTTGTTTATCTATCTCCTTTAGCTTGTACTTAAAATGTAGGTTGTATAAGCTTTAAAAAATCTCAATCTCTCGTACACCACTTTATTTATGGGACATGACGCTTAAAATTAAAATTTGTTAATAAACCTTGATGTGTTCAATCAGACTCGGGAGAAGATGGGGATGAGACGATGCTTGTATTTACTCTGTATTTTTGCACTACTGCTCTGCTCTCTCTGCCTTTTTCTTATACTTTGCGAATGACTTTGCAGCTTTTTTTCTTGGCCAGGATTCAAAAAGTCTTGGTTGGAAACCTGGCTGGCTGGCTGGCTGGCAGGCATTCTCTAAATAAAAGTAGTTCATTCATTCATTCACAATTTGCGAATCTTGTCCTATTGACTTCAAAGCATGTAAAACTTTCTATAGCCAGCACATACATTTTCATATCACTTTACTTTACAAAGTGCTAAACACTCGTAGAACCCGATACACGCACGCACAAAATACTCCATTTTTTTGGCGCAATTTTTCAAATTATTCGAAATCCTAGACATTATTTATCCTTGCCCTATTCAAAAATTGGCAACGACTCCTCACAGTCAGTGACAAGAGAGAGAAAGAGAACCGATGAAAATGATGATGATGATGACGGCTTGCTTTAATGAGCGTGGAGGTAGAAAGATCAGATGCTACATGCATGATGAGATAAATGCAGGCAGACCGGAAGGAAGTACCGTAGACACACAGAAACTAACGTACGATGACTCCCAGAAGTTTAATGATGTTCATCTTTCCACACTTTGACCTGGGTTATTCCTCGTTTCGTTCAGAAGCGAAATGAATTCCTTGTCAAGGAGGAAAATGTTGATGAAAATCGCATTCCTGGTGATGAAAAGCGAGAATTATTTTTCCATTAAAGTGAAAAACGATGACAAGGTTAACCGAGTCGGAAGAAAGGATTTCTTCTTTGTAATCTAAATCACAGACTTGAATAGAATCGATTTAGCAGACCACGACGACGACGATCCAACAAATTATGAGAGAAAGGCGAGGCGATGATGACATTTATGGGCAGATCATGTTGTCCTTGAAATAGACTAGATTGCGAAAATGCTTACATTCTCTGTAGTCTCGAAATTAAACCATCTTTCATCGAGTCTTCTAACTTTCTCCGTTTTATTTATGCCTAGGTCGCTGCCATCTTATTGGACAAGGGTGCCGACGTAGCGGCCAGAACTTCGCGAGGTTGGACTCCTCTGCATCTGGCTGGAAAGTATAATACTGGAAATACCAAGGTTGCCAATTTATTGATAAGCCGTGGCGCCCCTGTCAATGCGGAAGGAAAGGTACACAACTTGTCAATTATAAAATATGCACCCTAACTCAATGTATGCAAATTGCAAATACAACCAATATTTTTTAACCCCAGAACCAACTGACGCCACTTCACACCAGTTGTCATCATAAGAACAATGAAGTTGCATTACTTCTTTTGAACAATGAGGCAGACCCGAAATGTTTGGGTAGGTGTTACTTTACATATTTTGCATCGGATCGCATCACTAACAAAACAAAAATATTTATTCATTTGCAGCAAAGAACAATTACAGCCCACTCCACATTGCTGGTAATTTGAGTCATGTCATGTTTATTAATAACAAACTGGGGTCGTATTTTAAACTATTTTGCACTTGTTTATTTTAGCCAAGCAAAACCAGATCGACATTGCCACCGCACTTTTAGAATATGGAGCAGAGGTCAACGGCCAATCTCGTCAAGGCTACACACCCATCCATCTGGCTGCCGACCAAGGCAATACAGACATGGTCGCTCTTCTTATTCAGCACGGAGGTGACGCAAATGCCGGAGCAAAGAATCAATTACGACCTCTTCATCTGGCCGCACAAAATGACCATGTAAGTAAAAAAGAACATGTATCCCGAGTAGAAATCGCTGTAGAAAATCTTGCAAAAAATTTCTACAAGTGCAGAACCGTATGTGCATAATTTTCTGCAGAAATGACTCAATTGTGCCAAATTTCTGCAGAAAAGCCGTTCAAATTTTTACTCGGGATGTATTTTGCATTCTCTTATGGATTTGGTAAACTACATCGTCACTTCTTTTCTTGGGATTTTAGGTCAGGTCAGCAAGTGTATTGGTCAGCTCTGGTAATGCGGAGATTGACCCTCAAACTCAATCTGGCTATTCCCCACTTCACGTCGCATCCCACTTTGGACAAGCCGGAATGGTCCGCTACTTACTGCAGAATGGTGCAAATGTTCATTTGACCACTGAAGCCGGCAACACGGCCCTCCATCACGCCGCCCAACAGGGACAAACGTTGATTATTACGCTCCTCCTGGAGAAGAAGGCAGACCCAGACGTGGTCAACAACAGTGGACAAAATCCACTCGCCATTGCAGAAAAACTTGGGTATGTCTCGGTCGTCGAAACTTTGAAAATTGTCACCACCACGATCACCACCACGACAACGACGACCACAACGATTGAAGAACGATACAAAGTTCTCGCCCCCGAATCAATGAATGAGAATTTGGCTTCTGATTCTGAAGGTACAAAAAGGAGTATTTTGCACACCAAAACATGAATTTTTTGGCATATGTATTCTTAACACGAAATAAATTTTTCTACAGATGAAGGTGCCGAAGATGCCGCCAATGAGGCTTATCGATACTTGACCGTGGATGATATGAAATCACTCGGAGACGATAGCATGCCCATCGATGTTACTCGGGATGAACAGCCTCACCGTGATTCTGGATGTACGTTGGCCAAATTACTACTGTTCTTATTCTTTAATTAAAGTATTAACTAATATTTACCTACTTTTGTTTCCAGATTTACACGGAGATGACAAATATGAGAACATTGTCACGCAAAAGTACACCCAGCTCGCCGCTGATAACGTTGATATTTCCAGAACCCCAATACAAATCGGGTATGTTGTCCATTTTTTACTTATTTTAAACCCAATTGAGTAATTATTTAGCCGCGTAATAATTAATAACCTCATGTACAGTATTCCTCATAATTATAATTAGCTGATAAAAATAAGTGATGATCCAGACATGAATTTGCAGAGTGAAAGTTTTATCGGATTTTTTTTACAAAGAAAAAATGGATTTTGTTGCGTTGGACGTAACTGAATAAGCTTGCGTTAAAGGATTAATTTACATGTTGTGTTGTTTTTATGTTTATTTGTACTTTTTTGGGGTTATCTCACCAGCCACATTATATTATTTTATATTTACACGATATAAACTTAACATTTAGGCGATTTTATAACACAAATTGAAATAATTTTTTAAAGGATGGTTTTATTTTGGTTGAATTTGTTTTGCCATCCCCAAAAGAACCCCCATCAGCGCAGTTTCGTTAAGATCCCTTACATCCACACCCACCACGAGATACAGCCTTAACTTCAACGTGAGCCGCAATTCCACTGCAACACTTGGAATGTGTCGAGACAGGTTTTTATTTTTTGGAGATCTTTTCTTAAAAAAATGAAAATTTCAACTAAAAACTTTCTACAAATTAATATTTAGATTTTGTTTCCTTTCAGTATTTTTATTGATTGACTGAATTATTTAAATTCTTCAAGTCAAAAATAATCGGTAGATTTTATTCTAACATGTAACAAAATCATGAATGATGACCCGTGAGGTTTGCGCAAACTACTAATTCACTCAATAATTAATAGTACAATTAATTAACAACTTTCACCCGTGGGTTCGATTTGTTGCAAACGCTTTTGTGGAGAAAGCGGGGGAAAGTTTCCGGAAATTTTCGAGCGTTTTTTTGGAAATTTTGAACGTTTCCGGACATTTTTTAGAATTTTTAGGGGCCGTTGTTTACGGGCCGTGGAAATTTTCCGGAATTTTCTTCCCCCGTTCTCCGGAAATAAATCAGAAATCGAACCCACGCTTCACCACTAAAAATCTGAAATATCCGTTTTTTGTCCCAAAAAATTTCCCATCTGCATCTGTTTTGTTTGTTTTGTGTAATTTTTATTTGAAACATTGCATAGCCGAGTCTCATAAAAAAAACCAACAGTTTGAAAATTTTAAGAATTTTACCAAGGATAAATATGCTAATGAACAATGTATATTTTTCTTGCCCCTTTTCTCTCACTAACGCCGGCTACTACATTGCATGCCCTACAATAGGAAACTACACTGGAGAAAGTAAGAAAAAAACCAACAAAATAAATCATACAGTAAATTAAATGCTGTAGTTTTGTTTTATCAATGTCTGGTTAAAATGGTTTTGCATTGTTGAGTTTTTTTGGTTTTGGTTAAATTATTATCGATCAATTGTTTGGGTTTTGTTCCGCGTTTTTGTATTTGCCAAGTGTGAAGTGTGATATGTGACGTGTGTGATGTTATGTTCAGTGGCCGCGGAAGGGTGGGGACAGAGGGTCAATGTCCCCATCATCTGCCCATGTTATACAAACCCGTCCCTCCCCTATCCGACAATGTTAATGTCCCCACATGTCCCCACGACTTCCGCGGCCAATGTCTGTTGCATTTGCCAATATTTATAAACGCTGCAAATGTCTGACACGCTTCTACTAATTAAATATTGGCCTGAAAAAAATCCTACTTATGAGTGCTGACCAGTATTATTGTACATTCGTAGTTGTTGAGTTAGTCTAAAAAAAATTACCATCTTTTATTTAATCACTCACATCTGTTGTTCCGTATTATTTATTTTATCACGCTTCTCATTATTTTTTAAATTCTAAAAGCTCTGTGCTCTAATAATATTCTTTTTGAAGTAAAAATGGTCGAAACTAATTCCAAGTTTGATTGCAACTTTTACAGTTTCTTGGTCAGTTTCATGGTCGACGCGAGAGGTGGTGGTAAGTAATTAGGAATTAATCTATAAATTAAGTTTACGTATAATTAGTAATTAATTCGTCTCATTTTGTTCCGAAGCGATGCGAGGTTGTCGTCATTCGGGGGTCCGAGTAATCATTCCGCCTCGAAAAGCTGCAAGTCCTATGCGGATTACGTGTCGCTATCTGAAAAAGGTGATTAATTAAGCGTAGTATTTAAGTTTTATAAATGATTTTAGTTAAATATTTGGTCAATTAATGATTTGCATTTGATATTCAGGATCGACTAGTGCACCCTCCTCCACTCATGGAAGGTGAAGGTAGGTGTTTATTTGCTTCAAATAAATAATTTCTGGACTAACTTGTGCTAAATATTTGCTAACCAATTCTTAACATTTGACTTCCAGCTTTGGCTTCCAGGATTTTGGAGTTAGGACCCGCAGCGGCCAAATTCCTTGGTACATACATAAATCTATATGCACATGATTTCCAGCGGCATGCATCAAGTATTTTGCATGAAATAACGTGTTATCCACTTGTGTTACAGGCCCTGTTATCCTAGAAGTGCCCCATTTCGCATCGTTAAGAGGTCATGAAAGAGAAATTGTTATTTTGCGATCGGATAACGGGGAAACTTGGCGTGAGCACAACTTGGATGCGACTGAAGAAGCAGTGCAGGACGTTTTGAATGAATCATTTGATGCAAATGGTAATTTACGAATTAAGAATTTGTGTATTTAGAGGCTGAATTTCTCTTAAATAATTACTTTCTATATTCAATTTTACAGACCTGAAACAATTGGAAGATCTGAAAACCAACCGAATCACGAGAATACTAACAACGGATTTTCCTCAATATTTCGCCCTTGTCTCCCGAATTCGCCAAGAAGTTCACGCCGTGGGTCCCGAAGGTGGAATGGTGTCTTCCACTGTAGTTCCCCAAGTTCAAGCCGTTTTCCCACAAGGCGCTCTCACCAAGCGGATTAAAGTTGGTCTTCAGGTAAGCAAATTTCTCCCCGGAAAGTCAGGTCCCACCAAGAAAATTATCGTCAATAACATTCCAAAAAAGAAACGCTTTTCCCTTATTTGGTAAATTTCCTGAAAAGAAAAAAGACGTTGTTGACCGGCTCTGACTCTAAAAAAATCTCAAATTATTCTAAAGATCTGTTCAAGTATTCCAAGTATTATCATCGCTTAGACATAATTTTTTGTGGTGTTCATTTCCAAAAATCCACACTTTTTCCTTCACCACCTGCTACTACACATGCTCCAAAATTATGATACACTAACTAACTTACTTACCTGCCACTTACCTGAAATTATCCTCATCACTCAATTAAAAAAACATGGGTTGTGTCAGTCTCTCTTCCTTCAGAACTCTCTAAATCTTTGAAAATTATCATAGTATACGTATTGCTGGCCATAATTAATTTTAAAATTTACATACAAAATGCAAGGCATACAAACATAAATAAATAATTACTGTACATTCTTTAAAATTACACACTTGTGCGCACTCAGAACTATTGCTGCAAAATTATCAATTGTACAAATTGTAATTAACAAAAAAAAGATATTTAAAAAATATGAGAAAGTATGCCTTACATTTGAGCTGAAGAAGATCTGACAAATTCTATATAGATTTTAGGCCAGGCCAGCAAAATACATATTTAAACAGACAAAAGTTCGTTGACAGAACTATTCAAATGTGAAAAATATATGCAAATTCGGCAGGAATAGGATACCGATATTTTTAGGGCAAGTTTCACTTTTCATTTAGAACACACAGCATAAAAAAGAGATCTTCCGTTCGTACATAATTAACTGAATCTCAAATACTTTTTCCTTGATCTCACTAAACAACAAAGAATCTCACCTTTCCTGCTCCTCAATCCAAATATAGTTTGGCTATTCCTTCACAAAACAGTATTTAGCAAAGTATTGAATAGCATTGAGGGTTTTCACGTCACCTTCGTAATTGTGGTAAATGTCATAAATAGCGTAAATTTACGTCATTTTCGAAAATTTTATGGTTTATGCTTTCGATTCCGAAATATATGTATGGTTGAGACTTTTTCTTCGTAAAAAGTAAAATTCACGATATTTCGAGATGCTGATTCGATTTGGTAGAGTTTTTTAAAAAACCTTTTCGAAAGCACTTTTTATGAAGGTCTTTGTAAATTGACGAATATTTTTGCACGAATCTACATTTACGAAGGTCATGAAAACCCCCATTATTCCACCCACGAATTTACCTAATGTAAACATACCTTGATCAACCGTTCTAGTCATGATTTTTTATTTCTAGTCATTTATTTAACATGTGTGATGATTTTATAATTTACATAATAACACGGTAAAAAACAGTAGTGACAAGCAATTGTTTGTTCGTTTGTTCGGGATTCCGCCCAATAAAGACAACATTTTAAATTTAAACTTACCTTTGAACCTAAACATTAGGTAATAATTTTAATTTGGACAAGATTATGAATAATAAATATAAAAGATCTTAATCCATCTTTGTCTCTTTTGTGTGGCTCTTTAATCACTTGATTTTTTTAAGGATTTTATTTAGTACAAAACTCTCAGTGAAATGATACGAGAGCAGTGGAAAAGTCTTCCTTTTTCAATTTTCCGATTTTCCAACTTTCCAATTTTTCTAAAAAAATACAAAATTTCAAAAAAGGTCCCACACTATTCTATGTATTTATCTCTTTAATTACTCCTTCCTAAAAAAATATTGGGCTGATTCCCTACAAGCCAGATTTCTTCTTCTTATAATATTTATTAGTAACTCACACTTTCTCTTTTTTGTAATAATTATATTTTTCTACTAATTATTTGTTCTTCTTATCCTATCTTAAAAAACCGATAAGTCGTTTCTCGGGGCCTTTCTATCTTCTTGCTTTTAATTAATTACCCTTATTTATTAAACGAATATATACTACTTAACTTTTGACTTTCAATGCAAAATGCAAATGCTCAGCTTTCCACTGCTTCTCACGTTTTATCTGAATATTAATCGTTTCTTAGTTCTATGATTTTCCAATTTTTGCACAATTAATCATAACTATTTAACTGCAAAGCATAAAAATAAAACCGGCATAAAGAAACGGGCCTCTGCATTTTGCATTTTAAAAATCTTATTTTATTTTATGGTGTTATTTTCTAAATCAAAATAAATATTTTTAACAATTTTGTATATTTCTAATTTTTTAAAATTTTTTTTTTAAATTTTATGTTTCTGGCGAATTCATAATGATGTGGATGCTCATAAATGTAACTGAATCCATACATCCAACCGTGTCATTTGGACGATCACACAGGCTCAACCGATTCATATCGACCTTGTCAACAAAGTGGCGGGGAGCCGGGTATCGGTGTCGCCGATTGTGACGGTGGAGCCGCGTCGTCGCAAGTTTCACAAGCCGATCACTCTAACCATTCCCAAGCCCAAGAGCCAGGACCCCAACTGCGTCCTCCGACTATTGTGTTCCATTACAGGTAAAGCTATTTTTTCTTTTGACTTTCTCCTCACTTTCTAATTAATTTAGTATCGTAAGTAATTTAATGAATAGTGTGTGGGGTTTGATAATGAGTAATCATTGGTAGACAGGATTATTTGAGAGTAAAAGTTGGCATAACGTATTTAGAATTGTTGTTGGTGATATTTTTGACAGGTTTTAAGTAGACTTATTTTTGGTGATGGTGGTGGTGGTGGTGTTGTAGCTAGACGATTGTTAATTATTACTTATTACAGGCTTGTACATATTGGCATAATTAATAGTGTTACATAAAATTGTATTAATACTTGAAGGGAAATTAGTCACTAAATATTATTTCCGGTGCAGCAGACTTAACTTTCTCTTCAGTTTCATGAAAAATAGTAAAATACAAATAAGTACAAATTTTGTAGTAATAATTATGCATCAATCAACTTGAGAGAACGTCTTTATCAGGCCACGAAGTCACTTAGCGTGTCTACACTTTTACTTAAATCGTATGTCTGTGTTTTGTTTTTGGAGAAGAATTATTTACAAAATGTCGTCAGCCGTGTGCAGCAAAGCAACAGCCTTCAAAACGGTTTTGATTATTTAAGCAATTTTGCTAAACTACATGTGCTGGCTAAAAATAAGCGATAGATGAAAACTTTGAGTTGATTTCTTTTCCTACTTTTGTTAAGTGATGTACATACGTTTTGTCTATGAAATTTACCTATTATGGGTACACACATATTAAGATTTATCTATATTTAGGCACGGGTGAGAGAAGGACGCTTCATAGCTAAATATTTGGGAGAAAGCATACATTTTTCACACAATGAATGATACGATACGCTGTTGCTTACATAAATATTTATGATAAGGAAAGAAAGAAAAAAAAGTTGAGAATTTCGAACTTCTAATTTGCTAATTTTATTTCACCTGTCTCTTCTCTCTATTGTTTGGGCTTACTGAGTGCAGGCGTGTTTCGGAAAAGATCACTCAAAGGTCTCAAAGGTAAACACATCATTCTCCCTTTAATAAATCTCACCATTTACTTCAACCTTAAATTCTAAATGCACTTTACATATTTAAATTAAAAGTAAAAAAAGAAAAAGAAAGGTTAAAAAGGGACGAAAAATAAATAGGTGTTATTCATATCCCATTCATTTTTTGATTGGTTTCTTGTTCTCTCAACTTATACATTTACTTAGTCACTCCTTTTCATTTTGATACAGTTTTCCTTTTCATTTCATACTTAATTCTTCCCTTTCTGTTCTCGTGAATAAGTTCAAAACAAACACAGATACAGTTTATTAACGATTGAGAAAGAAAATAATACCGATAAGTCATGATAAGTCATGTGTAGGGCTGTTTTCCTGATAAGAAGAATCACGTGTTTTTTTTATTTCAAAAAAGTTGTGTTTACTCGTCAGCTTAGAATATGTACAGTTTAGAATTTCTATCAAAATCACTTTAATTTATGAACATTAAAAAGTTTCTGTATTTTTATCCTTGTCAATATTTCTAAAACTTTCTTCTCTGAAAAAAAAACTGGAGAAAGTTCACACGCTGCACTGCAGTCAGTAAGCCAAAGTATATTTATAAATATATATCCTCCTCGCCCTCCTCACGTTTTATGATTAAGTTTAATACTTAATTTCTGCGTTTCTCCTCTTACCTTTTTATGCACGTTAATTTTGTATTCCTTAGTTTTCCCTCCTATTATTCTTCTTAATTTAAATTTAATTTCTTCCACGAATGGGGTTTACAAGACAGAAATTTTGTTGGCGTTAGTTGAGACAATCACTGGGATGATTTTGGTAGGATAGAATTGTGGTGTTATCAGTGGCCGCGAAAGCCGTGGGGACATGTGGGGACATTAACATTGTAGGATAGGGGAGGAGGGGTTTATTTAACACGGGCAGATGATGGAGTCATCGAATAACCATGAGGACATTGTCCCTCCGTCCCCAAGCTTCCGCGGCCACTGTTGTTGATATGTACATCGGGCTTGCAAATTTTTTATTTGTCAACTTTTTTACGTGTGTCTGGCTTTTGTTTGAGTTTGCAATAATAATAATTCGCTTGTGGCTGATTGTTTCTGAAGGTTTTGGAAATAAATACTTCAAAGAGAAAGTACCGCATACTAACAAATCAATCGTTGTATGGCCATATTATTACATTTGTAGAACTGTACTAATCGCATGGATGTGAATGGTGAATGAATGACGTATTACATATTATGATAGAAAGTCAAGTAGTAAATATATATATAAGAAAAATATTTGTGTAGGGTGAAATAATGGGAATCAGGAAAGTTGCATGAACCTGTTGTACGTACATTATTCTAGAGTAATTAATAAACCGCACCTAATATTTTTGCAAATTTATTTAGTAACAGAAAAAAATTTGTGTAATAATGTATAATTATATTTTTTTAATTTTTATAATTTTATGATTTTGCCACATCATCAGGCGGGACGACGAGGGCGCAGTGGGAAGACGTCACCGGTTCGACGCCACTCTCCATTGTGAACGACTGTATATCCTTCACGACCACGGTCTCTGCAAGATTTTGGTTGATCGATTGTCGCCACGCCAGTCATGACGTTACCCGGATGGCTACCGATTTAGTGAGTGGTTTGTTTTATTAAGGCTTTTATTTTGTTTAGTAATTATTTAGCTGGATATAATAAATGATTGATTTATTTTATACTATTTACAGTATAGAGAAGTCATCCACGTTCCATTCATGGCCAAGTGAGTAGAATTTTGTTAATTGTGTTCATTGGGGGGCGGAAGCAGGGGGCATTCCCGAGTAAAAATTTGAACGGCTTTCCTGCACGAATTTGACCCAATTTTCTGCAGAAAGCTATGCAGAATTATGTACGGTTGTTCAGAATAAAAGCAAATTTCGGCAGGATTATGTAAAAAAAATATGCACAATACAATATGCATCGAGCTTTTGTCTATAACGCAGAATTTGAAATAGTTATTTCTACTAGAGAATTGTCTCCCCAGAAATTCAGTAAACTCGTATGTTACCCATACCAATAAGCTCATTCTCCTCCAGCCCCATAATGCTGATGTCCCTATACAAATGTCCCTTCAACTTCCGCCGTCACTTATTTGTGTTTGAGCTTGTGGGGAGTCATAATTTGTTTTAATTTGTTTTTTATTATTTATAGATTCGTCATATTTGCCAAGAGAATTGAATTGACAGAAGCCAGGCTGAGAGTGTTCTGTATGACGGACGATCGAGAAGAGAAGGTAAATAGCACTAATAATTGGATCGAATTGAACCATATTTTGACTTATATTTTATTTCATAGACTTTGGAAGGCCAAGAACATTTCACTGAGGTAGCTAAAAGTAGGGATGTCGAAGTCTTGGAGGGGAAACAACAATGGATCGAAATGGCTGGCAACTTAGCCCCTGTGACCAAGTCGGGAGAGCAACTCCGTCTGAAATTCATTGCCTTTAGAGAGAATCGGTTACCTTTCCTTGTACGCCTGCGAGACGTCAATGCTGACGCGGTGGGTCGTATAATCTTCATGCGAGGTAATTAATATTCAATTTTCATAAAAATTGCATACAAAATTTGAACATAATTTAAACCCAAAATATTATAATGGTAGATTCTAAGTCATCCCAGAAGGGGGATCAGGCTCCTGTGTGCAACCTGAACATTGTCCTACCCGACCAAATCATGCCGGACGAGCCTTCATTACCGCCCTCCATCTCCTCCTCACCAAGACTGCCCTTGCACACGAACCGGTACAACATCAAGAATGTAGCCTACTCCTCCACCCCAAGACATGGGGTTCTCTCGGTTGGAGAGATTCATCGTGGAGTAAGTGGATCTATATTTTGTTCAAATTTTGAAAATTATGAACTTACGTTTTTTTATTTCTTGAACAATAGGACCTCAAGATTTCCGATGTTGCAAACCTCCTGGACGACGATTGGATACCACTGGCACGAAATCTGGGAATAACTGATCCAGACATTACTATAATTGAAGCGGAATATCCTCAAAGTCCCCATCAGCAGGTTGGTCCATGCCCCGGAAGTGAACTTATTTTTACTCTACACTGTTTTTGTATATCTTATCTAACCTGTCCTTATCGGTAGTCTTACTTATCAACCATCTCACAAACTTCACACACACTATCTAGAGTTCCTTCATCGTGTCCCGTGTCCTGTAATAATTGTGCCTTCTTCTTTACACACTATAATTCACTCAAATCTCTAACAAACTGGTGTCCTTTATTTATGTTTCATTTTTCCAAAAGAATTAATATGCACCAATTTACAATTATAATTGAATTGACCTTAGTTCCCATCGCAGGCAACCGTTATGCTCAGATTGTGGATGCAGCAAGCTGGTGACCGAGCTACGGGGAACACGTTGGAGAAAGCACTAGATTCTATTGGGCGTGGAGACATTATAAAACATTGTATAGGAAATATCGCCCCAGGTAATAAATACATTTTTACAGTGGTCACGTTTTCTTGCGTAAACTCGGTAACAATTTTATACATAACTTTCTCCAGTCACTGATGCCTCTGAGAAACTTTTGGCCCAATCTCAAGTAGCTCTCGAGTCTCAAATCATTCAACCACAAACCAAACAAGACAGAAGGAATCTTAGCCTTGATGACGAACAGGACTTGATGAAGGTATGCATGCTTTCTCTTCTGAAATCAGAATTCTTCTTCACTTTTTCTTCTGAAATCAGAAGAAAAAGTGCAGAATATTTATTAATAAGTCTACTTTTTCTCCCAATCAGGACTCTGAGTCATTAGAAGACCTGTCACAGACCGATGCTTTCAGAAATAAGCAGGCAAAGAGAAGAAGTATGACCCCCACGGATGAAGAGGGCGGTCCCAATGTTATGACCTCTTCGTACGAGAGAGACGAACAAAAATATTCCGCAGAAGAAAAAGGTTAGTAAGGAACCCCCTCGATAATTCTCCCATGACGCCCAGCACCTGCGCAGCCAATTGGACAGTCTGACTGACCAGATTTATTTCTATTTTAGAATCGCGGCCCGAAGAGAAAGTTAGCGCGAAAGGTAAGATCAACAAATCTGACTTTGTTTTCATTGTGCTGGAATCATTTCTTTAAATCACGATATACTTACGATACATGTTTTTTCATATTATCCATGAAATTATTCTGACGCTTTGTCATGTCGAGGTGTCAGATAGAAATTTCTATGCAATGAAATGAAAAAAAAAGTTTGCTTTCCCGATCGATCACTCATCGAAAGCTCAAGCTAGCTAAAGCTATATTTATCTCATACATACGTAATTTACTCCTTCAATAATTCCTTTAATTTCCATCCAACCATCCAGTTACCTGAACCCTTCATAGTCAAACCTTACCCAAACTTACCAAAGTTTAGTAGCAAATATTTAATATATTTATAAATAGTCAGTCAATAGCCAAAAACAGCAGCAAAAACCTACCGTCAAGTATTACTTTGTTTAGTCAGAGCTGAATCTTTTTAGTAGCATGCGTTTCTTTGAGGCTTTCCAGAATAAGAATTTTTCATAATGAGGATATTTACCGTGCTACAAGATTTTTCAGCTATTTATTACCTTTTTGCTTCGTGTTACCAATACTACTACCTCTCTCATTACCATACTTACACCTACTACTACTCGTTTAATTATCATTATTATTACTGTACTACCTACTACCTCACTTTTTAATCTTGACTTGAACATGTCGTTTCGTAAAACGTACACCCACCCTTGAAAAAATCTGTGCTTTCACTTTACCAAAAATTTTTGTATATTGTTGCGATACGTTTATGCGATGATTTCTTCTTTTTCCATAAATTTGTCCATTAATTTCCATAATTTCCACAAATTATTATGTGCCAAATAAAAATATCGCATAAACTATGAGCACTAATACATAATTAGATAATTACCTTGCTTTAAAATTATTCATTTATTTTATCTACATTAATTTTATTTTCTTGTGAGCACTTTACAATTTATGTTCGTACCTGAATAAAAAAGACACTATTTTTATGATATTTCGTTCACTCACGCATTCTTTTCAATTGTTTGATTTCAATTTTTGTGATCTTGTTTGTTATTCTTAATTCTTATTCATGTTAATTTTAGAATTTTTGTTATGTTGTGTGGTTGTTTGGAATGTGTGTATTTAAGTATGTATGCTAGTTTGGAGTACATTTGTGATTTTGTGTATGAGAGTGGATCAAGTTTTTTTAAAGAAAATGATACGTATGTAAATTGACACTGCAAAAGAAAACCTATGTGCAGCTTGATCAATCGTCTATTATTACATCCCTGTATTAATACTTAATTGCTATTTATTGATTACATTTCGCTACAAATGTAATTTATGTAAAATTGGCTTTTTTGTTACAATCTTAAAAATTCTACTTCAATAATTTAAAAATTTCTACCCGTTTTTGTGATATTTGTCAGCCTTGCGTTCAATTCAAAGAAACTTCTTTCTTCTTCCAAAGCTTTTGTACTCCTGAAATTCCACAAAAAAATGTATATAAAATTACGTCCGTGATTTCCAAGTTTGTCAGCTTTCACCCTTAAATTTCTATAAAATTTCTATAAAATCTATCTCAATAAAACGAATTTTCAGAGCACGGTAACATATTTATGATCTGAAAGTATTTTAAAACACGGCTGTTATAGACATAACTTGACCAAAGTATTGCACACAGGTTTTGCTCTGCCAGTTTGAATATTTCTAAACGATGAGTGCCTTACCAGGAGTGAGTGAAAGTTGGAGAAAATGTGAAATTATGTTATAAAATACTTGCCCATGCCGCACAAGAATTGCCATTTTCGTAACTACACAGTAGTAAATATTACCAAGTGCAAAAGTGTAACAATTACAGTGACTGATATATTTTTAATGATTGTCGAGAGTGGAGAAAGTTAAGATGGTTGCGAGAGTTTGTTGTACAAATGTTGAGAGAAAGTTGGTCTCATTTTGAACCAGTTTTCTCACCCACACACACTGCACGAATTATTTTTATTTTACTTATTTTTTTTACCAAAATATTTCATTCGCTCATATTTATTCTTCACCAGCTACTTACTTAATTACCATAAATAGTTATTATATGCCCTGCGACTTTGCCATGCCATTCTTGCATAAAAGCCGATGCATTCTGCAAATGCCTTGCATTCCGCATATTTATTAATTATATGAATGAGGAAATACAGTATTTTTCTTATAATTTTATCGCAAAGGTGACACAACGGTGAACATGTTGAAATTTGTTTATTTTATTTATATTTTATGAGCGAGTGCGTTATTTACTCCGGAATTTATTGCCATAAATGTGCATTATTAACAACCCAGCAGCAGCAGTGACGTGCTAATCTGCCATTTAATAACAATACGTGCATATTTGACTGACTGATTGATTGATTAATTATTATTTAAATTCCTTAATTTAATTATTATTATTATATTTATATTTATCACCTAACGTACATGTTTACAAAATTGTTCCTTTTCACACGTGCCGCACTACTTTACTAACCGCAGTCAGTATTAACCCTTGCGTCAAAATAATGATTCATATTACACCACAAATTTTAAAAGTATTAATAATTACTTATCAAAAGTGGGAGTTGGTCCCACGCTAAATAAAAAAAAATACTTATTGCTTGCGCTTACACCAAAACTAAAAGTTTTGACAAACTAAACTAATCACAATTAGTTTAAATAATTGCGAGGATAACCATTTTACATAAATACAGGATGATTAGAGACATCTATTAATTTTATGAAAAAAACAATTATTCCCGTGTTTCTGTGTGTGTGACCTTTGTTACTTACCTGATGTTTCGCAGTCCACTGGGAGGCAGGCCCAGGGGACGAGGAGGTGAAAAGTGTCAAATTCACCACAACTACTACTACGACTATCACAAGTGCGGTGGATCGTGCCTCCTCCAAGTCCGAGGAGTCTGTCGGATTCGGGACTCCGGAGAAGGGAAAGCATTCCTACTCTTCGGAGGAGAAAGAGACCGAGAGTCAGTCTCAGTCCGCGTTCGACACGGGGATTAGCGTGACCACGACGAGCGCTAGTGTTAGCATTATTAGAGATAGCAGTAGCAGAGAGCCTGACACGGAAGGCGAGGTTTCCGACTTTAGCTTAACCTCTCCGAAAAAGGAGACCCTGGGCAAAGATATTATTAGGAAGGGAGTAGTTACCCCGTCATCCTTCGATGATGGGGTGGATGATAGCACGAGCTCCAGAGTTGATGATACTTTCACCCTCACGGAACATGATATGACTGATCAGGAAGAAGAGGATGATAAGACTTTGGACGCATCGGTACCTAATATTCAAGCACAAGCCCAAGTTCCAACAAGCTTAACGCTAACGACGACTACCACGACGAGTGAACAAATTCGGGTTGAAAAACAGCAAGTGAAAGTAGAAACAGCAAAGCCCCAGAAACCTACCCCTTCCCCTCCAGCGACTGAATCTACTGTTACCGTAAAAGTGGTGGATAAGGCGTGCAGCCCGCTACAGACACAAGTCGGGACTCCAGAGAAAGAAAAACTTAAACCGGAAACGGTTTCCCGATCGCAACAAATGACCACAGAGTCTGTCGACGCGCAAGTTGGGACGTCCCCACAGGACACCAAGCATAAAGACGTCCTCACGCGGCTACACAACTTAACCAATATGCCCATCGGAGATGATGAAATTTATACCACTCTGAAAAATCAGGAGGCAGAGATGCTTTCCAAAAGTGGGGAAGTTGTGCATTCCAAAGCGATTGAAACTCCATATTCTGGAGGAAAGGGTAGCGTTTCCAGCACTACGGACTTGATGAGTCCACCTGCCACGAAAGCAGACGCTGCTGCTACTACATCTCCGAAAGGAACTACTTCCGGTTCCATAGAGGACGACGAGATGCAATTCGACCTCAGCATTGAGGAGGAAGAAGCTTCCCCCGATAAACAAGAAGAAACTGATGAAAACGTACCTGACGTTGTTCCAGATGCTAAACCTAGCGATGATAAGCCTAGCGCATCAATGACAACGACGACTACCACAACCACTACGATAACCACGAAAGTTATCACTACTGGAGAAGAGTCTGTCCCCCAACAGATTATTGTTAAGGCTGACGACACTACTATTACTGCCGAAGAGAGGAAAGATGTGAAAGCGGAGAAAGCTGTGATATCCAAAAAAGAGGAGACTTCAACCAAGAGATTTATTGTAGAAAAGAGTGATCAAGAGGAAAAGTCGCCTCAAGAGGAGAAGAAAGATTTGCCTGAAAAGATTGTGATTCTTAAGGAAGAGGTCGTCGTTGTGGAGACCACCACGACCTCCTCCACTGCTGGAGTCAGTGGTCCCCCAGTCCCCCAAAATTACTCCAACTGCAAGTTGACGCTTCCAGCTCGGAAGTCTCCACGTCCGACAGTCCCCCCACAACGGTTAAAGATTTAGAAGAAATTTCCACCGATATCGAGTTAAAGTCTGAAAGTCATGACATATTAGGAGTAGAAGAGGGAACAAAGCCTTCCAAAGTGGAAACTGAAAAGGAGAAAGTTGAAAAAGACAAGAAACCTGAAATTACGCCGTTTCCAGGTGAGACTGCTAAGTTAACGAGCCTTGAGCACCCCAAGCTTACTGCGATGACTGAGGAGAAAGTTAGTCAAGAGAAAGTCGAAAGTGAACCTTCCCACAAAATTGAAACTGAAAAAGTTGAACTGTCCCAAAAAATTGAAACTGGAAAACCTGAACCTTCCCAAAAAATTGAAACGACGACTGAGGAGAAAGTTACTCTAGAGAAAGTCAAGCCTGAACCTTCCCAAAAAATTACTGGAAAACCTGAGCCCTCCGAAAAAATTGAAACTGGAGACAAGCAAAAGGAGAAAGTTGGAGAAATCTCCCCTGCTACTGATAAACCATCCAAAGACGACATTGTTGTTGAGGAAGAAACAACAACCAAGTCCACCCAGGAACGGAAACCTTCCCGAGAGAAAAGCCTTTCCGAAATAGACAGTAAAGTGTCTGAAATTGAGGCTGAATTTTTACAAGCCACTGCCAGGAAAGACTCGAAAGAAGACGTTATTGAAGTCAAAGCTGAGGAAAAAGTGACTAAAAAAGTCGAAGTTATTACTAAACAAGTAGTTAAAACAGTGGTTGAAACAACCCCAAAAAAGCCCAGCGATACAACTTCGACCCTCGAAAAACTCGCTGCAAAAGAAATTAAACACCATCACGTGGAAGTAGAATCCAAAAAAGTCGAGCCTCCAGTAACCAAACCTACCACTGAGAAACCAAAGGAGGAGAAAGTTGTTAAAAAACCGGAACCACCAGCCGCAGTTCCTCTCGCTGGTCCTGCCGCTGGTTCCCCAGAACCAGAAATGGGCACCCTTCTCGGAATGGTGTCTGCAGAAATGGTCAAACGCAAAGAATACCAAGACCACCACAAGGACGTCGAACCACCCGCTTCTCACGTCTCCGCGGAAGAAGACGAGAGCGACAATGTTTCAGAATCGCTGGGCAGTTTCGGACTAATTTCCCAAGCAGTGCGTAAGTCAACTGGGGTCATGCTCGCCACCGGGATTACGACTGCTCCAGAAGACATTAAGAAGCTGGAGGAAACTTTGGAAGAGCAACAGAGGCCGTTCTTCCACAGAAGCGTGTCTCGCGAAGAGGTTTTGGACTCGATTGTGTCGGCTGCCGTGGCGCCCGCCTCCGTTGAGATGGCCAAAGCTGCCAAGGAATCTATTGAGGAAGAAAGCGAACCAATTTTGGCCACTCCGCAATCGAGCAGTGATATTTCGATAGAAGGAGACGACGAATCGGTGCCACAAAAGAAGACTTCAATTTCCAAGGAGATTGTGGTCGAGTCAATTTTGTCCTCCTTGGTGGCTCCCGTTTCACCAAGAGCGGTGGAGTCCATTGAAGAAGCGTCTAAAGTACAGAAGGAGGAGAAAGTTGTGACAGAACCGGAAAAGTCTTCCCCACCTCCTCTCACGCATAAGGAAGAAGTGATGGAAACAATTGTCTCCGCTAAGATCGGACCTGTTATGTCCATTAAGGCAGAGATAGAAATATCAAAACAGACAATTAAACAAGATGACCACACATCGATAGAAAAAGTCGAATCTAAAGAAATTCTGGAAAAAGTGACATCATCATCAGAAAAAGCAGAGGTGAAACCTGATGAAAAATTAGCTCCGATTGAGCCAACCGAAATAAAAAAGGCACCCGAAAAACCATCGAGAATCCCTACCCTAACCAGCAGCGGGTCGGAATTTACTCAGAAGACAGTTGAATTGGTCACTACTACAAAAGTTTCATCAATTCCAGTATCATCTGCTTCGGAGAAAGATACAAACATTAAATCTCCGGCTGAACGGGAAATAATTACGGAGAAAGTGGGACTTACTTTCAGACAGCAACAAGCAGCAGCATTCATGTCAGAATCTGATATCAGAGAGAGACAAACTGAGGAAGTTATTTCGGAATTAGAATCACAAGTTTTTGAATTTTCTGATGTTGCTCAAAAACTTGAAAGTAAAACTGTTTCTTCTAAAAGTGAAATATCATCATCACAGGAAAAGTCAGCCACAACTGTTCAGGAGCAACTTCAAAAGGTGGTAAAATCGTCTTCCTCGGATATTGAACATACTCCAAAGCTGTATCAAATTGAGAAAACTATAGAATCAAAAATATCCGAAGATGCTTCTATGTCACAAACTAAAACTTGGATATCAAACGGTACCGAAAGTACTGTGAAAGTTGAGATTGAGAAGACGACAGTTATTGTTCAAAAGGATACAAAAGAGTCACCAGACAAAGAGAAATTATCACCTGCAAAAGAAACAGAAAAAGCATCACCAGTAAAAGAGGAAGAGAAAGTATTACCAGTAAAAGAGGTAGAGAAAGTTTCACCTGCAAAAGATGCAAAGACAGAATCTCCTGTGAAAGAAGCAGAAAAAGAATCACCTGCTAAGGAAGAAGAAAAAGTCTCACCTGCTAAGGAAGCAGAGAAAGTATCACCAGTAAAAGAAGCTGAGAAAGTATCTCCGGTAAAAGAAGCAGAAAAAGTATCACCTGCTAAAGCAGCAGAGAAAGTATCACCAGTGAAAGAGGCTGAAAAAGTATCACCTGCTAAAGCAGCAGAGAAAGTATCACCGGCAAAAGAAGTAGAAAAAGTATCACCTGCTAAAGAGGCAGAGAAAGTATCACCTGTAAAAGAAGTAGAGCAAATTTCACCTGCAAAAGAAGCAGGGAAAGTTTCACCAGTAAAAGATGCAAAGAAAGATTCTCCTGTAAACGAAGCAGATAAAGTATCTCCTGTAAAAGAGGCAGAAAAAGTATCACCTGCTAAAGAAGCAGAAAAAGTATCACCTGCTAAGGAAGCAGAAAAACTATCACCAGTAAAAGAGACAGAGAAAGTATCACCAGTAAAAGAGACAAAGAAAGTTTCACCTGCAAAGGAAGCAGAGAAAATTTCGCCTGCAAAAGAAGTGGAGAAAGTATCACCAGTAAAAGAAGTGGAGAAAGTATCACCAGTAAAAGAAGTGGAGAAAGTATCACCAGTAAAAGAAGTGGAGAAAGTATTACCAGTAAAAGAAGTGGAGAAAGTATTACCAGTAAAAGAAGTGGAGAAAGTATCACCAGTAAAAGAAGTGGAGAAAGTATCACCAGTAAAAGAAGTGGAGAAAGTATCACCAGTAAAAGAAGTGGAGAAAGTATCACCAGTAAAAGAAGTGGAGAAAGTATCACCAGTAAAAGAAGTGGAGAAAGTATCACCAGTAAAAGAAGTGGAGAAAGTATCACCAGTAAAAGAAGTGGAGAAAGTATTACCAGTAAAAGAAGTGGAGAAAGTATCACCAGTAAAAGAAGTGGAGAAAGTATCACCAGTAAAAGAAGTGGAGAAAGTATCACCAGTAAAAGAAGTGGAGAAAGTATCACCAGTAAAAGAAGTGGAGAAAGTATCACCAGTAAAAGAAGTGGAGAAAGTATCACCAGTAAAAGAAGCAGAAAAAATTGCACCTGCAAAAGAAGTGGAGAAAGTATCACCAGTAAAAGATACCGAGAAATTATTACCTGCTAAAGAAACAGATAAATCATCTCCTGCAAAAGAGGCAGAAAAAGTATCACCAGCAAAAGAAGAAGAGAAAATATTACCAGTAAAGGATACCGAGAAATTATCACCAGCAAAGGCATCGGAGAAAGAATTAGAGAAATTATCAGTAGCAAAGGATACAGAGAAAGCACCACCATCACTGGAAAAAGAGAAGGAAAAAGTATCGCCAGAAAAAGAGGACAAAATATCACCAGGGGAAGTCAAGATGTCACCAGTAACAGAGAAAGTGTCTCCAGAAAAGGAGAAAATTCCAGTGGTAACACAAAAAGAGAAACCATCACCTGCAAAACAAACAGAGAAAGTGTCACCTGCAAAAGAGAAACCATCTGAAGAAGTATCTGTTGAGAAAATACAAGAAACCACCACGAAAACATTATTAACTCATGATATCCAACAAGTGTCAGATCTCGACTCTGAAATAGAGCGACTGGAGAAAGAAGTATTCCACGTTGAAGTCGAGGAAAAGAAAGCAGCTCAGAGTAAATTTTTAACCAAATCTGAAAAAGCCGTCGAAGATCTCGATTTAGAAAAGATTGCAGTCGAAAAGGAAAAGAAAGCTGCTGCTCATTCATTATCATCCATTCAAGAAAAGCCAGACCTCAACTTATTCCAGCAATTATGCGTCGTCCACAAAGAAGAAGAAGAGGAAGAAACTGAACAAACATCACCTCCAGAGAAAGTCCCAAAATCAGCAAGTGCTGATAAATTGAGACGAGATTCCGAATCAAAAGACGGCGATTATGATAACGTCAGCATGTATTCCACCAGCACATCTAGCTCCGTGATAACCGTCATTGAAAAGGGATCCAGCCAGAGTTTGGAATCGCAGGGGAAGATGAGTTTGGACCCTGAACCGACTTCCTCATCGTCACCCCCTTCGTCACTCGTCTCGGAGGAGAAAGTACCAGAATCTTCAAGCCTAAAAATCACAACTACCACAACTTCATCCACATTGCAACGCGAAATATCCGAAGATTCTCCATCCACCGGAAGCAGCACTACTACCACCACAACAACAACCATAATTCAACAATCAACCCCAGAAAAATCCCCCCGCAAAAAACCCAACCTCACCGATGTCGAAAAATTTGTCGATGAAGCTCGCGAAGCCGCCGCGCAATTAAAGCAAGAAGTCAAAATCCTCCGACCTGATCTCACTCCGACCCCGACTGACCAAAACTTAGCCACGACACCCGTACTCAGAGCCATGTTTGGCATCGGGGCTGATTCCGGGGGCTGGTTATCTGACGAGGACAAACTCGAAACTGTACTCGAAGTGGAAGAAAAATCTCCAAAGCGATCCTCCTCCGAAATATCGTCAATGGACGCCTCCTCCCCAAAATCATCCCGCGGCGGGGACACACCGCAGCCTCAACTGCAACAAGAAGTCTTGACCACTGAAGCGCTCGAGGTATTCGATAAAGAACCAGAGTCCGTTTCTGAAGGCGTTCTTACCAAGTCTCACCCAACAACGGAGCTCAGTGCGGAAATGAAGGAGGAGAAAGTCACCGTCATTGCGAGACAGGTTTCTGAATCACGTGCCGATCGCGTAAAAACTCCAGACCCGACGGATCAGAAATCAACAAAGGCTGCCGGCGGTGAATTCAAGGAGGTCATGTACTTCAAAGAGTACACACCCCGCACAGTCGAGACGGAAGTGTCATCTTCCCCCAAATCCGGCTCCACGTCACCCCCTTCAACCACCTCCTTCTCAAAATCCTCCCCCATCACGACCTCAAAAGTATCCCACGCATCGCACGAGTCTCTCGTAAAAGAACTCAAACTTACCTACGAAGCTGGCGAACCACAACAAACCATTCACGATAAGGAAGCTTATCGTAAAGATGCCGAAGATAAAGACAAGGACACCGCAGAAGAAATCAGGTCTCCGACATCATCCCTTCCACGTCACGACTCTCCAACATTCCCTCGTCTTCAAACTTCGCCGCTGGGACCTTCTAGCAAAGCTCCGGTGACGAAGTCCCCCCAAAAAGAAGAGGGTGACCCCGCTCTCCAACACATTCACCGCGATGTGTCGGCCAGCAGCGAGGAATTGCCCGTGAAAGGAACCAGCCCACAAAAATCTGTCTCTTCCTCCGTCAGCCCGGAACAGGAGAGAAAGTCGAAAAAGTATTTTGGACCGACAAAACTAATCGGAAAAGGAAAAGCCAAAACTTCCACGCATTCCTTGCCCGACTTACAATACCAAATCCAAGTCTCCTTCGACCAGCATGACTTACCGCGGCCGAAATCCGCTCCAGCCGTGATAACCTCGGAAGTATTTGTGAAGAACTTGGACGTCGTGTACTCCTACTCGGACAAGGACAACGAACCCGTCGTGATTGAACAGCAGAGCAGTTTTGACATCGAAATACCGCGAGGAACTGGGTCCTCCTCAGAAAACTCGACCGCGGTCTCCTCCGCGACGACGGAATCATCCAGATGCATCAGCGCCGCGGTGTCATCGGTCGACTCGGGAGGGTTTCCTCCTTCTGAAAAAGGCTCTGACGTTGCAGGAAGCCCTTCTGCTTCAGGATCATCAGTTTCAGACGGAGTCCGAAGTAGGAAGGACTCCTCAGATTCAAAACATTCTTCCGGTGGTGGCGCCGGTGGTGATTTATTGACGAGCGGGGAGCCAATTTCAAGAACCTCGTCAACCTCTTCCTCCTCCCACCCGAAAAGTGGTGGGAGCGGTGGTGAAATTCAAAGCGGAGATCACACCGCCACCGAATCCGGTTCTTCCGGAGGAAGTAGCAAACACGAATCGAAATCAGTATCAGTCTCGATCTCGAGATCAGGATCGGAAGCGTCCTCAAAGTCTTCGAGATCATCCAAGTCTAGCGTTAGCGTTAGTGGCGGTAGTAGTCACAAGGCTAGTACGACAAGCGCAAGCAGTAAGTCAGGCGATAGTCAGAGTCAGGGTAGCGGCGGAAGTAGTGGGGGTGGAGGTGGTGGTGGTGGAGGCGAGGAGTGTAGGTCAGGTGGGGGGAGTCTGGGCAGTGGTGGTGGTGGTGGTCAGTCCGGGTCTCGATCCTCCTTGGCATCGTCACCCTTGTCAATCTCGTTGTCCGGGGGGTCGGAGTCACGCACATCGGAGTCCACCGAGTTACTCGTCACTAGGTTGAGTCCACCCAGGATAGATCCGAGTGGACAATTCCCAAACATTACCGATAACCTAACCCCCTTCATCTCTTTCACGTACTCCGTTAAAGGTAACTCATCCAAATCAAAATCATTCAAAAAAAGCAAAGCAAAACATTTAAGAGAGCGTAATGGTAGGAGAAAGTTGTGATAATGTGAAGAAAAAAAAGAACGCAAAAAAGTAGACGTATTTATCAACGTAGGCTTTCTAGTACATAGATTTGTGAGGTGCACTTAATTGTAATTTGCAGTAAGAGAAAGCAGGGTTGTTAGCGTGTCGTGGTATGGCAATTTGTAGAAAATGCAATCGCACAGCATTATTTTGTTTAATTATTGTTATTCTTTATTCGCGATAAGTTTGCAAAATCGTTTTAATTTATATTTTATGTGTTTATCATTTTATGTGTAATCACTCGTCACAGTCACTCACAATAATGCACTTTTTGGAAGCAACAAAAATAAATAAATGTCGTGTTTTCAATATTTTAATAAGCCGTCCAACACCAATGCACTTTCTACGGAACGAAATATATAAGTAGTATCGCAAGCGTCTTACGTTCTCCACTCTCAATGTGTAAATATTTAATGATGGTTGGTTCATGCATTTGTTGCACTAAATATTTGTTGTTTTACATGTTTTTCAGCGTTTTGTTATGTACTTATTATTTTATTATTTGACCCAAACTTCTGATGAAACAAAATAACGAAATGATTTATAAAATGGTATGAAGACTTCAAAAATCAGCGCAGCAATACTGAAGAAAATTCATTGTAAGGAAGAGAAATTATCACTGAACGTCAGTGATAATTTTCCAACTATAGAAATTTTTGTTATCTTTGCCAGAATTTTACAAAATATACACTTTTTTGGCTAGTTTTTCGTCGTCCATTTTGGTAATTTACGTAGTTGTAGATGTATGTACAGACTATGCAAAAATCAATCTAAATAATCTCCAATTATACGGATTTAAATTCAAGAACCAGAATTCAAGAATCTCCAATCAAGACAACAACAAAATTACATAAAAAATTATCTACTAAAATCCCGATTCATTTAATTTCTTGTCTTTTCTTTTCTTAATTTGCTTTCTTTAACCATTATTTTCATTCTTGTTACTACTAGTTTGCTTATTTTAACACGGTTTTTCTCCACCTTATTTAAAATCGTCATCAAGCTTGAGCTTCTTAGAGCGATCATATCTATCACTCACTCACTCACTCACTGGCAAGTATTTATTTATATCATAGATATTTAAATACCTAGTCATCAGATTTTAAAAAAAGTGTAGTTTGAAGCAACTCACCTCTGAATATTGACCTCTATAGATCTAGCTAAATAGGAGATTGTACATAACAAGTTGGAACTCTTAGTGACAAAAATAGGTCAAAATAATTACTCTAGGTTATCCATAATTCGCAGCAGTGGCCGCGGAAGCCGTGGGGACATCGGGGGACATTAACATTGTAGGATATGGGAGGGAGGGGTTTATATAACATGGGCAGATGATGGCGACATCGTAAGGACAATGTCCCCCTGTCCCCACGCTTCCGCGGCCACTGATTCGCAGCATGACTGATGATGCTCATCTATATACATGAATAAATCGCAGTAGTGTAATAATCTCGAACTTTGACTCAATTCTTATCTAGAACGCGAACTGTCAGCCCAAGCCCCTCCTCGCACACAGGAAGAAGAACCAGAATACGAGCCTGTTGGCCAATCATCTTGGTCACAAGAAGAACAAGAACAAGAACAAGCTCCAGTTGGAGAAGGTATGTTTCTTGACACGCATTTCGTACGTGGATCCCAGTTTATTGGTTTATGATCACTTTCACCCATTAATTCAACACTTGATTGACTTTTCCCAATCATTTCTTAAAAAAAAAGATTGTGTGCGTGTCATAACTTTTACTCATTTTTATTAATTATTTATTTACTATTGGTTTGATTCAGTTGCACCAGAGTTAGTGAGAGAAGTAGATTTTAGATCAGAATTACTTACCACTAATTACGTACACATGTAGTTAATTAGAAGCAGATGATTAGTTGCAAAACAAATTTATTTCCTTATTTTGAAATTCATTTTCATCCTTATTTTTTGAAAATTAATTACATATTTCATACTTAACACTTTATTGCAAACATACAAACACTGATTTTAGTACTTACGTAGTGCCAAAAATATGTAGTAATAAATAGTACCGCTTCGAGCTGCTGCTTCCATTACATAAATACATACACAAGTAAATTAGTAGGTGCCGTAATACTTACCACCGTAAAATATGTATATAAAAATGCTTATACACATAAATTGCCATAATTGCTTAAAAATACCAGCTTTATACAAGTGCTACCAGAACCAAGCAAAATTAGAAAAGTGCTTTTAGTTAGTCTCATTGTTGTCATTGTTTGTGTTTTACCTTACGATTGTTGTTACATAGACATTAATTACTACGTGTCGCTAAATGTTACATGTCGTAACCCATTTCTATCTACAAACTTTACTATTAATGTTCTACTTTCAAGTCTGTTAATTACATTAACCCCACTGTTACGTCAAATGAGATTCGATAAACAGTTTGTAAAAAAATGTCATGAATTTGATAAGGCTGGCACGATCCCCCTCAAATCCAATCCAAAAGCTCCCTTAAACCTGAGCCAATTGCTGCTGAAGCCCCCCAACCTCCTCTCGAGATGACAATCAAGGAGGAACCAGAACCCGAAGAAGAAGAATTCCCAATTCCAGAATCTTCCTTTTTTGACCACAAACCACACCCAGGTCGTGAAACAAGTGCACCAACTCCGCCATCCAGCCCAATCCACGCTGAGGTCAAGCTACTCGTCCGTACGTCAGAAAATGGGCGAGAAAGCGTCGAGATTCGGAGTGTCAAGGAGGTCCGGGTCCCATCTCCGGTGGCCCCTCCGTCCCCACAACCTCGAAAGGAACCCCTTCGTCAAAATCCGACCCCCCCAGACGACGATCAATATTTTTACGGGGATGACGACGAGGAACGTATTGCTTCTCCTATAATTACGCAAAAGTTGGTTGTTCGTTTCCAAGAAGGTTGGTTTTGCTAGCAGCATTTTGGTTGGTTGGTTGTCCGTGTGTGGGTTTTTATTGGCTTCTATTCTACTTATGAGTCTCGTTCTTGGATAATGTGCGTCCTGTTCCTGTCAGTCAGTGTGTTTCTATTATTATTGCAGTTTGAAAATAATTTATTATGATTGAAACACATTTCATAACACAGAAAGACAGGTGTTGAATTTTACAATTGGTGTGCGCTGTTCATGATTACAATTTGGAATAGGGCTGGGATTATTTATTAGAGGTTTACTACTCAAATTCATAGCCAGGGTTATTGAATCGTTATCAATTAAGTATATATAGATACGTACATACGTAGCTGGTGGCATGTTTCTCAGCTTATAACTAATGCAGCTAATATATTCATATGTAAATATTATGTAGAAAGTGCATAAATACATACAGACATTCGTAGTTCTTGAGTAAATATTGTCAAAAACAAAGGTTATTAGCTAGCAGATCTGCTTCTGTAATTTAATTCCAACAATTTTTACCAACAAACGAGTACATCAATCAGTTCTATACAATTCGCCGCGTGTGTCGTGCCCCTCTCTTTAACCGCCTTACTATTAATCCAAAATCAGTGTGTGTCACATAACAAACCACGTAAAAATACAGGCATCAAGCATCCACCCACACAAATATTTGTTACCTATTTCCAGAACCCATAGTAATGCAAGAGTCCCAAACCTCAACCACGTTGAGAGACGAGTTCGATCCTCTCAACCAAACGCAAGTCTTTGAACAATGCATCCGAAAAGCGACGCCGGATGGAAGCGTGCAGGAAACCGTGATTACCCGGACGACCACGACAAGTCACACGTTCTCTTCCCAACCACCACCAACCTCCTATGCAAATGAGGGCGTCGACATTGTCGAAATCACGGATGAAGATGACCTCCCACCACGGGAAGAAGAACCTTTAGAAGAACACCCATCCTCCGTCCGTTTCGAGCAGCAACAGGACGACGAGGACTTGGACGACTTTGAAAAACTGGAACAAGAACTAGCCCGACAACAGCAAAATACGACACAATTTGTCCAAGAAACTGCGGAATTTGGAAGGGAAATTGTCGACGAGATAATCGCGGATGCACTATCTACCCTGAACGTGGAGGAGGAAACGGAGGAACAGCAGCCGGCTGAGGAAGAAATCCCTGTCCCCTCACCGCCCCTCAGTCCGATGGATGATTCCAACTCGAACTCTTTAAGTCAACCGTCAGAAGAGGTTTCGGAGGAGGGAGGACTTCCAACTTCCGGTGGGGGCGAAGGTGGTGGTGGAGACGACGACCCCGCTGCCGCCGCGCCATCAGCAACCACTCCCTCCAAAGGCAAGAAGAAGAAAAAGGGGAGAAAGTAGAGCCTCAAAAATTTATCCCGTCAAATTCTTCTTGTGTCAAAAATCTCTCAAAATTATCAATTGTAGAAAAAATACAGTCGTAAGAAATATTTTTATTTTTTTGTTTTCTGCTTTCTCGCTCTCACTCTCGAGCTGCTGCTTTCCCTTCACAATACCCGATTGCGCAGAACCAATGTATGTCGTTCGTGGCTTATCTTGTACACATTTTATGTAAATATTGCTTCCTAGTTTTTGGGTGGTTATGCATTACCAAAAGGTGCAACTATATATTGTAATGTATAGTTGGAAATGGTTGTTTTATAAATTTACATATTTATGTATGAACTTCTAAATATAAATGCGTGCTGTAAAAAAAATTGTAAATTGTATTCGTCTCGTCTCGTGGTATGGTATGGTGAATTGTAAAATTCGTTCCTCTCGTGGTGGTGAATTGTATCGTGATGATGATAAGAATGACAAATACCTTATGTGAAAATGCCTTGTATTTATTTTCTTACATTTTATTCAGTGCTTTCTAATTTTCTAATTGCGTAACCAATACCCATTTAATGTTTTTCCCTATTTTTTGCATAATATTTATATGGAGAAAGTCCCTTGTAAATTATTCCTGCATGAAAACTTGTGGGAATCTGACCTACCTGTGTAAATGAATGTAATAAGTGTTTCTAAATACATCCATCGTTATAAATATGAACATTTGTAAATACATAAATATTTCCAGCGTATTACGGCTTCAGGCGGCAGAAACCTCTCTACAAAACTCTAGTATATTTATTTATAAACATATCCACGCTTCTTGTTATTTGATTTTATTTGAATTTATTATGTTACTTATTTTTCTTTACTCTTTTTCGTTAAAAATTTTCAGTTCCATTCGTTCAAAAAATGCACCAATATTTTATAAGTGATACATAATTTCCAGAAATTGATGTTGTTATTGTTATCATGAATGAAACCAAATATTAAAACTGCTCCCATCCTCCGATGATGCAGGGTCAAGTTCAAAGTCCAAAGTTGCAGAAGACATAAGCTCTTCGCCTTCCCGAGTTGTAGAGAACATTGGAACTTTCCGAGATCGGAAAGCCTTCTGGGAAGAGAAAGATGAGGAAGAGAAGAAAAAACGAGAATCCGTCTCGTCCGTGGAAGACTACACGCAAGGCATTGAAAACACGGCGTTCATCGGGCAAGAAGTTATTGACAAGAGTGGTCACGTTTTGGAACAACCCTCCGCCAAACTTAGGACGCCTTCACCGTACGAAATAGAACGGAGTAAAGAAGCAATTTTCCTGGATACGGATGAGGAGGAATTACGTCAAAAGACTGATATGACGACCGAGAGGAAAGTGCTCTTCAAAGGGGACGAGCAAAGCGTCAGTGTCGAGGAGCAGCTTACCTCAATCTCGTCCAGCGTGAGTGGAAGGGACTCCGTGGACAAGAGTGAGATTGAGACGAGTGAAAAGGGACCGCAGCAAGGACATTCGGATAATAGTTTGAAAGAGGCGAGAACAGCGGCGACAAATTTGGTGACGGAGATTGAGTCCAAGGTGGGGCAACAGTTTGGACTTGGAGATGTTGTGGGGGAGTCGAGTATGGACATAACGGATGAAGAGTTGCTCTCCACGGGAGAATTGTCTTCGCCGGAGACGCAGAGGTCGACAAAGGTGAGGGGAAAGTCGGTTTTATTTGGTAGTAGCGACTAGCGTAGAATTCGATGACTCATTGTCCAGATCAACATATTTTAAAATAATTTGATCTGGTAATTTAGTTTAAAATTTTGGACGACAAATTCGTAGAGCAGGTCGTTGCCAGTTAAAAAAATGTGCACTCCAGGTTTTGACAATTTTTGAAGAAAGAGACTTCAAGTTGAAGAAGCCTTAAGCGCAATTGGAACTCGTCGAAACTGGCTTAAAAACTTACCGCAATTCTATTAATCAACTTACTGACTACAAATTTGTCGCCCAGAATTTTAAAATAAAATCCCAGAGCTGGAACAAACATGTGCTGATTTTTACGATGAGTCCTGCGTCAATGAAATTAAAATGTACATATTTCTTAATGTGATCTCAACACAATAATTTGTTTCAGGCCCAGTCCTCCAGCGCTCAACAGCAACAGGCGCAACAACACCCTGAATTAGACACTACCACCCTTGAAGGTTCTGGCACCGGGCCTTACGACACATTTGCCGTGAAGTCCTCCTCCTCCGGAGAATTTTTCACCGCTCCGGAAGACTCCACTCTCAAAAGCTCTTCTGACGACCCATCCCGCCCTAAATCCTGGGACTCCTCCATCCTCGGTCAAGTCTCTGGCGGATCGAATTCCGAATACCAAACCGCCCTCAGCGCAGGTTCTGGTGCTTCATCGTCAGAAAGCTATTTAGGAAGTTTGTCCAGCGACGCTTCACAATCGGAAACTTTGGTCGCTTCTCAAATTTCTCTGGCACGCGATCAAGATCGCGACTTTCTCCTTGATGATGATGACAATTCTGCATCCGTACAATCACCACCGCCTCCACTTCCACCTCGCGACCATCCCCGACCAGCAGAGCCTCAGGTTACTCAATCACCATCCAAAGCGTCACAAGTGGGGCAACGTTCCGTTCACTGTGAGGCTGGTCCCAGTGGTGGAGAAAGTGGGTCAGGATATCCCGTCACTTTGACGTCCAGCACGAGCGGAACGACCGTTTGCACTCAGGTCGAAACCAGCGGAACTTTCAAATGCGAAGTTAAAGGTGAAGCGACACGTGAAGATGACCAAGAGGGAAACATAATGGTTTTGGAACATCATCACCACCGCCCCCTCGCACGACGCTCCGTTTCCATGTCGGATGCCGACCCTTCTGCGCTGGAACCACCGAAAAAGACACACCGCCGATCAGAATCGCAGTCGTGGAGTGATTCTCTAATGTACGGAGTGGAAGAACAAATCAGGGAGGAAGTTATAGAGGAAGAAATTTCTGACTTGTTCTCAAGAGGGGGAAGTTTTCAGCAACGGTCGATAGATGATGATCCAATTGAACGACCAATTACTCCAGAACCGGGATTTTCTCCGTTGGAAAGAAAAATCGGATATTATCCGGGATCCTCGTTTGATATTGAGCTAAATAGACAGGAAATGGGAGAGGATGAAGAAGAAGAGGATGAAATTCTGGATTATCCTCGCTCAATAGATCCAAGGGAGTCGATTTTTGACCGGATGGTCCCCTCCTCCAGGCTGGAAGGTTAGCGTCTTTCTGATAATATTATTTTCATTTAAGAGTTTTATTCATGTATTTCGTATTATTTACACAGACATTGAGGAGGAAGGATCACTAAAAAATTCGCCAAAGTCCGTTCTCAGCTTAGAAATGAGTGCCACGTCCATTGTGGAATTTGATCATGACAAAGGTTCACTGGAAGGGAGCGGAAGTGGAGGGACGGGTACGAGTAGCAGCAATGGACGGCCTGGTTCACGGGAATCCTCATCCTCCCTTAACGGTGAGTAATTTTGATGCTCACAAAATGGGTCTCCCAGCGTATGCTCTCCGATTTTGAGAAAACCAGTGACAATCGATCACAAATTTAATTAGCATGAAATTTACAAAAGATACGAACTCCCACTGGGGACGTTTGGCACAGGTATTTGCATCCAAAGAGGAGAAAGCGTGCCCTAAAGTTGACAAAATTATAAAATTTACTGTGCATTTTCTCCTCTTTGGATGCAAATATCTCAGCCAAACGTGTCCTTTGGCGGATAGTTTCTTTAGCAAATTTCATACCAATTAAATTTGTAATCAACTGACACTAATTTGATAAAAATCGAAAAGTATACTCTGGGAGACCTCCATTGTCCGTAAATACAATTATAGTAAATTGCTCTTTGTTTCAATGCAATTTAATCCTACATGTTACGCAACTCATAAAATTTATTCCATTCTTCTTCCCTACAGAATTTGAACGGTTAGAATCCGCCGTGCTGGATGAGGAAGTGAAAGTTGATCTCTCTGAAATTGAAGAAGGCCACGAATCCCAAGTTTCAGAATCCGACGACCAAGAGACTGAATTATACGAACAAGACTCATACTGCGACAACGATCCTGATCTCATGTCCGAAGCGGATGACAAAATGATGAAAATATTCTCCGAAAGAATCGATATTCCTACCGACTCAGAAAGTTCGAATTCCAACTCAAACAAAAGTTCGTCTCGAATCCCAAGGAAATCCGACCCCATCGCCTTCTTCACCACCACTTTAGACCCTCGATCTCCCTCAATTGAGGAAACAGACACCAACACATCGCAATTCGACGAGTATCACCTCGACCCAAGGTCCGAACTTGTCGGGGGCAGTACCGATGCAGATTCCAGCCTCGAATTCCAACACCAATTCACAAAACAACGCATCTCAAGAGGAATGACTTCAAGTGGGGATTCTTTAGATGAACCCGTCTCCGCATCGACATCTCGAGGAGGAGGACGAGATGATGACGCTCACACTCCACAAAATCTCATGGAGATCTCTCGAGACTCCTTAGATTTGGAGAAGGAGTCCTCTTCCAAACGCTCTTCAGACTCTCCTCCTCCAGCCGACCACAAAATGGTCACTTCTACAGATTCTCTGCAACTTCAGGCTCAAATGTCATCCTCATTTTCCTCACATCCCGCCGCCCCAATGACAGATTCCTTCACGAATAACGTTATGCAAACCTCGTCACGATCTAACGTCATGACCGACTCGCTCGAAATGGAAGGTGGCGTAAAAATGAGCGAGTCCGTCGACTCTTTAAACGGCGGAAACCTAACTTCAACCGCCACTGAGCGATCTTTATCCACCGTTGCTGCTGCCGCGACAATGGCGACGTCCACCACGTCCACCGATTCACTCGAGGGCGGCCCAGGCGTTGCGGAACACGGGCTTTCGTCCTCTTCCAGCACTGCTGCAGACGCCGCGATGTGGTCCAGCACGTCGGGATCCGTCTCTACGTTGATGTCAAGTCAAGAAGACTTAACTCTGGAGGGAACAACTCAATCTTAATCATTTGACGAATGAGAAGGCAATTTTTATAATGGAATTATTATTGAGTGTGATAAGCACAACCAAACCACCCAAAAAAATATGTTATGCAATACGTACTACGACTTGCTTGTTGCTTATCATGATGATAATCTTGCACCGAATGCTGGCTTGAATTTGAATGTGCACAATGTTTTATTTTGTACAAATATCAATCAATCTTGCACAATTTGATTATGTAAAAAAATTACTTTGTGTAATCACCCGCTTTCACTTTTATCACTATACGCACCTCTTTTTTTCTTCTTCCAACTTTACATAATCTGACAGTAATTTTAATATTGATCTTGTTGCATAACAGGCGGGGTAGAACTAGACAGTGACAGTCATGAAGACAACAGCAGCAGCATCAGCCAACAAGAACAATACAAAATTACTACTTCATCACACCAAAAACCAAAACAGGAAAGAGAACAACGCCGAGATCCTGATCCAGATCGAGATTCTTCTAATTCAGAAAATAATTGAGTAATCTTATCTTCTTTAAAATAATAATTGCACACAAGATTTCCGAGCAAATATTTCCGAATATATACAAATTCAAAATCCTCCAAAAATTTTGTAATTCAACTTCTAGGCTGTCCCTCTCTTATTGCCTGTCATTAAAACCCCCGGCTATTATATGACATACTAAATAATATGCAAAAATATTCAGCAGCAGCTATAACCACACTCAAAAATCATAACGAGAAAAAATACATGTATAAAAAAGTTCTGTAAACTGTTAGCAATTTGCCATTTGTGCTACATAAATATGCCTACGCAGCAGTTTTACCTGTTATTATTAAAATAAAATCTCTCCAATTTTTGGCTTGTCATTCATCCAATTCAGTCGTAATCAAGGTCTCCTCAGCTTAACATTACATTATGATGAAGATGATGGTGAAAGTGCAAAATGTGCAGTTAAGTATGTATCAAGAGGCTAAATACTACACTACATCACCCATGCAACTAAAAGGCTAGAGCGTAAAATATTTAAAACTGAAATTGAATAAAACTACATAGTTTCTAGAAACGTAGGTAGAAATGAAGTATGTCTAATGTTAAGAACACACCTGCCGGTTTCGAGTGAGTGAGGGTTGCATTTAGGAAGATGAGGAAGAAACATTTGTCGTAATTATAAAGTTATTTAAAAATTAATGTTATCCAATACACCAAACTGTCAACTGAACTAAAATCTGCTTACTATATTATGATAAAATAAATGCAAAAATCTGTAAAAACAGCAATTAAATACAAGCTTCAATAAAGAATATACAGTGAAAAATGATAAAAATGCTTTCTCTTTCATTTTAAATATGTGCGTGTAGACGAACAAGGGAGGTGTTCCAGTGTATGCTCTCAGATTTTGGGTAAATTAGTGTCGATTGATCACAAATATAATTAGCATGAAATTTGCAAAAGACACCATCTCCCAATGCGCAGATTTGGCAGAGATATTTGCATAAAAAGAGGAGAAAGCGCGCTCGGAAGTTGACAAATTTGGCACTTTCCAACTGCGTGTTTTATCATCTTTTTATGCAAATATCTCCGCCAAACATTTGGAGGTTGTGTCTTTCGCAAATTTCATACTAACTAAATTTGTGATCGACTGACACTAATTTGGTCAAAATCAGAGAGCATACGCTGAAAAATCCTCCTTGTAAGTTAATAATTAACGAGTAGATGACTCACCATTTTAAATTATTATCATCCAAATTCACATATTTATTAACTTTTTGATCACACTCAAAATAATTCAGACAATTTTTGATAACAATGTTTTTGAAATGTATAATAATTTGTTTTTCAGATCAAGTTCAACATTGAATTGAATTGATTAAGCGTTTATAATTTTTGATTTTCAAAATACAACTCATTGTCCGCATTATTATCTGTGCATACATATAAAGATTCAGTACAAACAAATTAACTCGAATAATTTTTTGATGCATTGCACACTACACATTAATGACATCCTGTTTTGGTCTAGTAAATACATGGTCTGATCTGGGACACAAAAGTGTTTGATAATTTTGCTATGATCCACAAAGTTGTATATAAATATGTATACATCTGAGGGAATAAAGTCTACTTGGTGGCTACATTTTACTACATAAATACATATACATTTGCATATTTACGACTAAAAAATTGAAGCTTCAAGCATAATATTCTTTGATAAATTTTCAATTTTTACGATTTTTACCTTATTGTAAACACAGGTTTGTTCGAAATATGTTGTATATACATACATGTTAATTTGCAAATATTGACGGAAAAATTCTGTAGAATTTGCTAAGTGCAGAATAATCTAAATCTTTTCTAAGCTCTATAAATACGTTTAGGATTTACCAGCTAGCAATTACTGCATAGTTCACTCATCCTCCTAAATACTTTACAAAGCACCATCTACAGATATCGATATATAGCAAGCAATACATAACAATGATAAAATTTTCACTCATCTCTGATAGCAGAAATACTTGGGTAACACTGACTCTGACTAATTTGGTTTGCTATGCCGAGGAGAAGAGATAAAACGACTGCTGACTAATTCTTGTAATGATACATTTAAGTATTTATATATATGTATATTCATTTCAGTAAATGTATTTAGTATCATATTGGTTATCATCAATAATGATCCTCCATTCGAGTGGAGGGTGACACATGTTGGTCAAAATTGACGAGATCGTTGTCTCCTGACTGCACCTCTCATTTACATACTTGACGTATTTAGTGTAGAGGCAATAAACAATATCCCAGCTTGACTTGGTTAGCACTACATAAATTGTTACGTAGCTATCAGGTAAATATGGATTTCTTACTGTGTATAGTAAAGTCTAGAGATTTTCATCAACAATTAGCTAATTGATCCAGTAGTTGATGCATGCATTTAATGTAAGGAGAAAAACTAAGCTTTTTTTTAAATATGGACATGTTTGCTCTATCCATAGTTTAGACATGGCTAAAGCGACTGAACAAACTATTTTTTAAACAGTGGAATATATAAACTTTACTTGGATATATATTTAGATTTTGCAAATCTGTACTTTATTCTAACACCAAAATATTTTATTTATGTATGTATTTCATCTTCTTTTACCAGTGACATTTCTCAAGCTCCATTCTTATAGGTATTATTTACAGCTACCCTTGAATATAATCACATACCTGAAGATTACTATATTTATTTATCTATTAAGATCCTAAGATCCTTCAAATCACGCATGCAAAGTTTCAAGTTTCAAACCACTAAATACATACCATTTTTCCAGATAAAATTTTACTTGCTTGTACAATTTTACACAAATTTGCCAATAAGGAACGCTATGAAATTTCGAGCTATTTTTTCTAGCTATTATTTCGAAAAAAGCGAGACGAATTATCCTGAAATAATAAATAGACAATAATGCTGTTCCTCAGACCAACTACCTATTTTGACATGTGCATATTTCACTAACATACGAGTACTTACATACATATGTACTACACAGAGTGGTGATTGGTTAGTTATAAATAGTACTTTTTTTAGGAATAAGTTCTTCTAAAGTTACGTTACATATATCTGCAGTTCATGTACCCTTTAATTACACGATGACAAAGATGAGTGATGATTTCACGGAATTTCGCGAGAGAATTGGTTGGTTTGGCTTGGTCTTTCCCTTGATGATGCGATGTAGTAGGAGCATAATTGCTGTTTGGCAAAGTTCTGGAAAGTGAGTGGAAGTACTGAACGAAGGACGAACTGTGGTGGGCGATGGTGCACGTCGTCGTCGGCTCCTGGCTTCGAGAACAAATCAAATTTTGTCGTCCTCATCCAAATGTCTGCAAGTAAAAGGAACGAGGCGAGAATTAAGTTTCGCACTATCTCCGTAATAATAATGCTGTAAGGCAGGTGCAAATGGGGATTCAAAGACAAAACATTTTAGCCAGAGTTTAATTGATCATGACAATCGTGAAACTTCCAAGTTAACGAGTTCCAAGAAAATGACTCAAGCGAAGCACTAACAAGGACGATAATACAATTGTCACGTAGCCTGTAACGTAATGATGGCTTCCTCTTTGGAGAGCCGGGGATTTATTATGGGCAGAGATAGATATGCATGAACTGGAGCATAAATTCGCAATAATTTCATGTATCATGCTATTCAGATAAGTATGTATCAGTCATACATTTAAATTGCTTATCAGCTGCGAAAGTTCATAATTGTACAATAAATGCATATGTTTTCGGCTTATTTTTAGTTCCTGGAAGAATCTAAAGGTGTATTTTGACATGTCAAAAGCACTTTCACTTGTACAAAATCTAGTTTTCTTTCTTCTCATATCGAATTTATTATGAGCATAGATATGTATAAACTGGAGTATAAATTTGCATCAATTTCATGTGCCATACTATTCAGATAAGTATATTCGTATCAGTCATACACTATTTAAATTGTTTGTCAAGTGCCAAAGTTAATAATTTAATTAGACAATAAATCTATAAATTTCCAATTTATTTATAGTTCCTGGTGGAAGAATGGAAAGGTTTGTTTTGACATGTCAAAAACACTTTCACTCATTCAAAATCTGTCCATTCTTTGATGCTGTTCATTCATTAGATGACGGTGTAAAGTGATTTTCATGGTATCCATCGCTCAACCATGAACTACACGGGGCTCTGTGAAACAAACTGTCAAGGTAAATGTGTACACTCTTAAAAACCCGGTGTTAATATCGTCACCGACTTCACTAAATGGTGATAAATCTTGCCCGCATGGTGACAAATTGTCAATGGCTGGTGTTAATTTTACCACCATTAGGTGAGAAACATTATCACCGCACGGTATGTATGAAAACCATTCGGTGACGATTAACACCGGGAGTTATTAAAAGTGCAGGCAGATATTCGTATAGGTGAATAAATTTCAAATTTTGATCACTTTACCACATCATCATTTATATACGTCGCACTTCCTACTTCAATAATGGAGACCCCGTATCTCATAAACGCGACGATCGAATCGCTCCTTATTATTCAGCAGCGTTCTTTCTCCATCAATTCAGTAATAGAGCTCGTAGTAGTAGAAGTACAACTTTATTGTGCCTTCCACAATCTGCTCGACAAAAGATGACGCACTCCTCCTGGCACAAATTCATTATCCTTCAAGGCATTAGCGTGATCTGATTTGAATTGACTTTGAAATTCGCAATTTCCACCGGTCGGGACGACTCATTCTCTCCCAGCCAGCCTCACTCCCAACCTTCATCACATTCTCCATCACGACGAGAAGATGGAATAGTCAAAATAAATGGAAATTGCTTCTGCTCTCCTACCCAACCAACCAACTAACCAACCTGTTTAACCTCATGGAAGAATGTGCTGGCTTTCCGCAAAAGTGAAAGTGAAAGTGAAAGCAGGAGTACCCATGTAACTACGGGATATAGTATGCACGTGTTTATGTATATACGTATTAAATATGTACTTTTACAAGTATCATGCATACATAATTGAAAGTGATGATGTTGACGTTGAGTATAGAAAAAATTGGCAATAATTCATACATATAATGGCATCATGATTTTATAAGCATTCAAATATTTCTACCGTCATATGCACATACATAAGTTCATTAAGTTGTGGCATGTTAAACGTATGTTGTGTTTTACGAATTTATCTGACCAGATTCTCGTGCACACACTTTCACTTTTTCTTTACAAATGCCAGATTTCAAACCCAGAAAGAAAACAACGTCAATCTTTGTTGATATGAATATGCAATTTTTTACATGCATAAAATAAAACGTATGTATGTATAATTCGTTGACTTTCCCAATCTCCCAGTGACTCCCTCTCTTCAATTCCGGCCATGATGATAATAAGTATGCTGCCCATGCATGCAGCAGTAATTCTCTGGTTAAGGTTTCGTTTCGTCACGAAATGGAGCCATGGGAAGAAGAAGGTAAAGCTGTGGAATTTATATTTCATTTAATTTAACGGACTGTGTGATTAAATTTTGCCTCTCATTCCGGGAGGATCTCTCACTCGGTGAAAATCTAAAATTATTCTTAAACGTATACAAGATAGGAACATTTGCATTGTCATATGCACGGAGAAAGTCGAGGTATAGGCCGCCGCCTCAATAATGTAGAGCACCAAGTATTCAGAAAATTAGAGAGAGAGAGAGGACAGATTTGCCTCCGTTCTTCTAATCTGCCTTTTCTACCTCCAGCAATAGCAACATCCTGCTTTAAACTTGGTTAGTTTTTAGTGTCAATGTTGAAGCCGTTAATCCCTTCCTGCGTCCATGACATTCTCTACGAAACACAGGCCCCCACGACGAAAAGGGGTGTTACCACGCTTATAAATCCACTTCCAAAGACCACTTGATATCCAGTTGCTAAAGGCGTATAACAAACTTTGCGAAACTCTCTGGTAGCTCGTCTCAAGGCAGGAAATACGGATGTAGGAAGTGGAGAGAGAGAGAAGTTTATGATGAATTTTGTATGAGTATTATGTATGCATACAAACCAGGAGAGAGCAGAGTTTTATCTCGCTTTTACCCCGTTCGTGCCTTGTCCTCTCTATAAATAGAGGCCACATTGTAGACTACATTTCAAATATTTGTTTCTCGTGGAAGAAACTATGTACTAAATTGCTGCTGAAACATACAATCTCATGCATACAGGGACGACAATGGTGAGGTGGTTTGTTGGTCCTTGGCCCTTGTCTGAATTACTTTCTCCTGGTACATAGTCCTTTCTCATGGTCATTTTACTCTCAGAGAGGGAAAAGTGAAAGTAGAAATTAAAGGAAAGTTGGAGAAACTAACGGGAAGAGGAAAAAGACGGGAGAAAGTTTTGCGTTGGTCTCTCTCCTTTCTAACAATGGGGACGCAAACCAAGTTCAACCTAGATTATTTTTTGACCAGGTTAGTTTGACAGAGCTACTCTTCAGAAGCAACATCTAGTGCGGCACTTGCTATAAGGGCGAAAAATTCAGCAAGTTTTTGGCGCCGCAAGTTCTCGAAAACGCTCCGATTTTCAGCGGACTCTGTGCACTGCGGAAGCCGTTGAGCGTTTTCGCGAACTTGTAGCGTCCAAAACTTGCTGAATTTTTCGCATCTGCGGAAAATAAATGATAAATGTTGTTTCTAAAGAGTTGCCCTTTCAAATTAGCACGGTCAAAAAATAATCTGTGTTGAACATGGCTTGCATTCCCATACTAAGTAAGCTGGCTAACTGTATGTACATACATAATGACACGCTGCAAATATCAAGTCGTCCTGTAACAATCATTATAAATGTGGCCCAATTAGGGCACCATTTAATAAAATTGTCCACACAATTTACTCTCGTTGTTGATAAATATGCTTATAGTCTAAATTACATAAAAGACGGGTGTCGTTTTGTTCCACATTTTGCATGAATGAATGCCGGCCCCCAAGTCGTTGTAAGTATGCTTTAATAAAGGAAATTTAAACAAGGTAAACACCCGTGCACAAACCGACCAGGGTAAACTTTTGGTTAAACCAGCTCCAGGCAGGATTTGCCATTTTGAACTTGCACATACCTACTTTGTATTAACAGAAACACACTTTGGTGACTTTGGTTAGTTTTCTCTTTGGTAGATTTGCAAACAGCAACTAACTAAATAACCCGACAACTTTGCATGCATGCATTTAATATGAAAATTGTATACGTTTCCGGTTTTATGCTTTGTTTATTTAATTCTAATTCGGTACTCAAACAAACTTTGCAATGAGGATGAGTCATACATATGTACATACATTTATGCTTACGCGTATGGGTGGGATTACCGAAATGAAAGTTATACTCACAGATAATTCCTACTCATTTTAATTAATCGAAATTTAATCTGTGATATTACCAGCAAAAATCACGACGAGAAGATAAGCACGTGGATTACTGGGATTCGTTGTGCATACTAATTTGTGCATGCTGAAGTGATGCAGGCGCACAGTGGCCGAGGAAGCGTGGGGACAGAGGGACAATGTCCCCACGGTTGTTCGATGTTCCCATCATCTGCCCATGTTATATAAACCCCTCCCTCTCCTATCCCACAATGTTAATGTTCCCACAGCTTCCGCGGCCACTGTGCATGCATGATATTCAATGTCTCATATTGCATGAAGGCGTATGTATGTACCTGACCAATAATTTCGTAATAAATGCCAATTTCTTGCTATTTAATCTCTGCCTTATCACTAAATTCTTTTCCCGTATTACCATTTCATCCCGGTGACAGGATAGATTAGATTTGTTGACGTAATCGCGAATGTATTTATCTATTATCACTGACCATTCATCGATCAGTGCTGAATAGAATGTCACACGAATAATATTTCGAGTAGGTGTATTACGTTCACTTTTTGTCCTGATTTAAATTTAATAAAAATAAAAATGACACACTTGACCCGAATTGTGTCAACCTTGTTATTGTTTTGTCAACTATTTTCACTTGGATATGGTCAGTACACGCATGAATTTTTTTCGGGAAGGTACAAACTAGAGTGGACCGTGAGTAGGTTGGATAAGATAGTTTTCACCGCGACAGTGCAAACCGGGGGATGGGTGGGGTTCGGGCTAAACTCGATGCCCAGTATGGATGGGGCCTATTTAGTGGTGGGGGGTGTGGGTGGGGTAACTACGCTGCCTCCAACGGGCGCAACTACGGGTCAGACGGTCGTACCGACGACAGGGTCGCCATCACCAACAGAGACGACATCGTCACCGTCGTCTGAATCGACATCGACACCGACACCTGTGACCATATCGTCAACTGTGTCTTCATCTCCGAGTGAAGCTACGACCTCATCAACGACCATGACCATGACCACACCCATTCCCACGACCACGACATTACCAACTACACCTTCTATTACGGTGCCAGGAACGTTTCCAACGGTGGTAATGACAACAACGACAACATCACGACCTACAGCCCCAGTCACGTTCCCAACTGTGTCCACCCCACTTACTTCTACTTCTGCTACTGTTGCAGTTAAGCAAGTTGGGAACCAGCCTTATCATTATGTACGAGTAAAGCTTGTTTTCTTACATTAATCATAAGTAAATTATGTAATTGTTAATGACGATCAATTGTGTTTACAGACATTTATTGGAGATCAGGCCGGACTAGGGACCAATTACACGGGAGGTTCGTGGAGGTTCTTAGGTGCAAGTGAGAACTTTGATGGAAATGCAACCTTGTTAACAGCGATAAGTTGGGAGAGAGATTTGGAAATTCGTAACTCCAATGAAACCGTGATTAGTCCCGTATGTAGACTATTTTTTAATAAACAGGAGGTCTCCCAGCGTATACTCACAGATTTTGGGCAAACTAGTGACAATCGATCGCAAATTTAATTACTATGAACTTTGCAAAATACACAATCTCCCAATGGACACGTTTGGCGGAGATATTTTGCATCCGAAGAGGAGAAAAGGCGCAGTAAATTTGGAGGGGTGAAATTTTTCAACTTTACGGTGCGTTTTCTCCTCTTCGGATGCAAATATCTCTGTCACACGTTCCCATTGTGAGATTGTGTCTTTTACAGATTTCACATTACTTAAATTTTTGGTCGATTGACACACGTTCAGTAAAAATCTGTGGGTATATGCTAGAAGAACTCCATTAAATATTCTATAATTCTAAGCAAGTACGTACTACTGACATTTAATGACACTTTCCAGTATGAGGATGTCTATCTTATCCTGCTGTATCATTCTGATGATGAAATCGGCCCAGGGTATCAGAGAACCATGCAACTAATAAATTTTTATCATCCAAACTCGGCTACCTCTGGGAAAATATTTTGCCAATTTACCGCCACATTTTCTGCATTACTTATTATTTTCTCTAATTATTTATAACTTATTGTGCTGGTTTATTCCAAGAACTCACTTGAAATAGATTCGTAATTAAAATTGAAACAATCACTTACGAGCAGATCATCGTGTGCTCATGGCGAACTTCCATGTAGTCCGGATTGTGTGTAATTTCCTTAATCATGTCCTTCAACAAGCTGTATCTTGGTATCATCGGGTAGTATTTTGATGAAACGTATTCCCCCTGAAAATTAAAACGGACACAAAACTATGTCAATATTTTGCAGGTGTTTTGCCTATTTACTTATTTCAAGTTTAGTTATGAGGAAATGTTACTATTTACATTGCAACCAGTTAAGCAGTGTTTCGGGTGAAAGTAACCACTTGCAAAAAATAAGGGGAAAAAGTGGTTTCTTGCAGGTGAATATTTTGACCTGCAAGAAATGCAAGGCACAAGAAACTACGTTCCGCCGCTATATTTCGCAAGATGGCGCATTTCTTGCGGTTTCTTGCACCTCGCATTTCTTGCATTTCTTTTTTTCCAGTGCAAGAAATGGCAAACCCGCAAGCCACGAAACCCTGTATTTCAGATCGATACTAGTCTTAAAATCAACAAGATTGACATTACAAATAAATTCACCTTCATTTTAAAACCACTTCCACAAAATGACATTGCATAAATAAACAACTAAACAAATAAACTTTCCAACCAACATGTTCCTTCCTTCCGTCATACATATATTTTCCCTGAGAAAATGTCACCTGCACCCTTTTCTCCTGTTTTCTCTCTTATGAAATGAAGAGTCAACTTGAAATTCGTAGTAACAGGACTCGTACGAATGTGTGTACATAAGTACCATTTGTACCACCAGTCACTCGCCCGCTTTCACTTACTTAACTTTATTTCATTTTTTACAAAAAAACTCCACTCGTCAGATTGAACGAGGCTGGTTGGAAGTTGGTGGTCGTGGTTGGTGGGATGGAATTCGCATCATGTCATATTGGATGGGATCATCAACAACCTTTATTGCTGGGCAGCATTGTTCCCAAAATAGAATGAGAGAAGAAGAAGAGATGAACCAACAACCAGCCAACCAAGCAACGTACAACGGACGAGGGAACCTCCTCTAGAGATTTTATGTACAATTTATTTTCGAGGTGGGTACATACATGGGTTAGTGTGTCGTTTCCTTCAGATTTGATACATATCTTGCACTAGAAAAGAAGAAACGCAAGAAATGCGTGGTGCAAGAAACTGGGAGAAAGTGCAAGAAATATGCGCCATCTAGTCATGAAATGTACGTGTCGGGCCTAGTTTCCTGCGCCTTGGATTTCTTGCAGGTCAAAATTGTTGCAAGAAACCACTTTCTCCCCGTTATTTCTTGCAAATAGTTACCTTCACCAGAAACACAGGGTTAGCAGTGACTACTTTCACCCAGTGTTTTGTTTCGTTGCTGATTTTCTACATTAGTTGCATTGAAAAGTGTAAAGCAACATACGCAAGAAATCCTAGGTGCAAAAAAATGCAAAACAAGTACAAGAAATATTCGTCATCTAGCCGCGGGCCGTACTAAATATGCGTGGCGAGCATAGTTTTTGCGCCTTGAATTTTTTACAGATCAAAATATTTAGCTGCAAGAAACCACTTTCTTCCCATTATTTCTTGCAAGTGGTTACTTTCACCCGAAACACTGACAAAGGTACACCAACCAAACCACTCTCCTGCCAACCCTTCCCTCACCCAACTCTCTCTCTCTTTCTCAACTTTCTCTTCCAACCAACCAGCCCATTACTAATGCCAAACCAAGGAAGCAGTTCTCATCTCTCTTTCTCCCCGTGGCTTTCTTCTTCTTCCACTTTAAGGAGTTCCTTTGCAAAAAAGTGGGCAGAAACCATCTTCGTACAACAGGTTTCACGTAGCGAGAGATGAAATACTGTGACATTTACATTAATCCATTCCAACTTATATTGCGTTTCCTCCGTTTTATCGTGGTTTGCATGCATGTGGTGATGTATGTATGAGTGAGAAATGTAGCAATAATGTAAAATGGGAGATTTCATTGCTGATTGTGTGCACTCACCGTGTGGTAGATTTCGCAAGATTGCATTTAATGTCTTTGCACAAGTACATACGAATTGTTTATGCTTTTTAATCAGTTTTAGCTTTTTGTGGTTTGTTGAGGTTTATACAGAAATTTTAATTATATTGTTTTGTTTATTAGTGTAACTCTTTCGAGCCTTGCGCCCCATAGAGAACAAATTTAGAGGTGATACATTAATATAATACAATAATTTTAGAATAGTGAGTCCATTTTATGCAAGCTTTCAATTTCTACTTGATAAACAGCAAGTTGAATATGTGATTTGAAAAGCTAATGCAGCAATTCAGCTAGAATTTCGGTTGTTATTTTGATTTTGTGTACATAGTCCAAGTAAAGTAACAGTTAAACAGGCATGACACGTCAGCTAAATATTTTAATTAATCAAAACCAAGCCATGTTCCATTTCCATAAAAATCCTTAGTCAGCGTATGTACATAGATAATTATTTTACAGCTTTCACCGGGGTCTGAATAATATTTATTACCGACGCAAAGCACGTATTTATGTACAAAGTGTACTAGATATTCGCAGTGGGAGAGTTGCTAACGAAGTAAAAATTATTAATTTTCTCCCCTTCTTTCCATGCTAAATAAAATTGACAATAGTGGTTACGGTCTCCTGAATATACAACACACACCGAATGAATAGTAAATCAGGCCGTTCAAATATAGATGAATCCAAGTTGGTTATGAAATTACGGAGTAGTTTCATTCCTGCAGACCTTTGTTCTCAGAAATCGATGTTCTTGAAATAGACAACACTCCTCTTTTTTGACGAAACAGCACATTCTCTTGCACGAAATTTATTATACTAAAGTACTTCACCGCACTTTTACAAGTACATACTTTCACCGTCGTCTTTTATCCCGGTCCGCTTTCTCCCCTCTTTTTTTATTTAGTCTTGTCTGGTCTGGAGAAAGTAAAATAAAACTACTCACATCACATCACAACAACTACAATCCTGTGTACATACTTCACCTAAAAACAGTGGCCGCGGAAGAGTGGGGACAGAGGGACAATGTCCCCACAGTTATTCGATATCATCTGCCCATGTTATATAAACCCCACCCTCCCCTATCCTACAATGTTAATATCTCCAGATGTCCCCACGGCTTCCGCGGCCACTGCCTACCTATATAATTTGTCCCACAAATTCACTGCCACTCTAAATATGCTGCCTTTCTCTCTCGGTCTTTATTTTTTCTTTTTTTTCTTGATGGGGTTAATCCATTTATTCATAAAATGCCTTTTTCTTCTTTTGGTTATATATTTATATTCCATCACAAGCAGAATTTCCTGCAAACACGATTTTGCCAAGTCAGCAGCGAAACAGTGGAAATATGTATGTAATGAAGGAAATATAAGTAGAAAGCCATTCATCCATCGCATCGTAATTTAACTAAATTCTAGGTAACAAAGTGAAAGTCTGCAACTAAACTGGGCGAGTTGATGAGCTAAAATGTATATATAATTCATTCCTTCGTTCCTCCACTCCTTAATAATTTATCCTCTGCAAACAGTGGCCGCGGAAGCTGTGGGGACGTTAACATTGTAGGATAGGGGATGGAGGAGTTTATATAACATGGGAGATGATAGGGACATCGAACAACCGTGGGGACATTGTCCCTCCGTACCTACCCTTCCGCGGCCACTGGCTACGAACAACCAACCACATTTATAAGTAAGCTACTTCTTCATGAGGATTTATTAAGTGGTTCAGTTCAGTAATGTTAGTTGCTGTTGTTTGGTGGATGAAAGTGCATCACGCGCCAGCCAAAAAATACACCCAGTAGCTAATCGAGAAACAAGCCTGCGGTGCCCTTCCTGATCTTTTCCTTCTCCTTCAGAGATATTGTAGTAGAACCGACATAGATATGCACACACGAGGGAAAAAGCGTAACAGGTGCTCTTCTCATCCTCAGTTGGTAGGGATGGAAGAAAGTAAAGTAGAGAAAAGACGGCAAAAGTGGCAGGCAGCAATAAATCTGCTGCTACCTGCTCGCACAAGAACAGAGGGAGCTTGAGAGGTGTGGAAAGTGGGGGCCATTCATCTTTTCCCGAAACTTATCTCATCATCATCATCATCATCACCAACACCCAGTTCTAATCTTCTCCTCGGGAAGAATTGTTCAGTGATGGCGGAAGTGTGGGGACAGGGGGATATTGTCCCTATGGTTATTCGATGTCCCTAACATCTCCCATGTTATATATTTAAACCCCTCCCTCCCCTATCCTGCAATGTTAATGTCCCCACGGCTTCCGCGGCCACTGGAATTGTGTACCTACTTCCTTATTGCTCCGAGCGAAAGAAAGGGTACTGAGGATAAAACGTGCTAAATATTATAGCACATGATGATGCATGGATATTAGTAGAAAGCCATGTATCATTATTATTATGAAATTGTTATGCAACTCATTATTCCGCAATGACAATTAATTTCGATTATATTGCAACTTTCCAAGGCTAACTTTGCAAGGGAGCTACATATCTTGCCGAATTACATATTGCGACGTGTACGAAATTCGCTATGCAGATGATATCAAACCAAACCGCCAAATGATCTCTCATGAATTTCAATTTTCCTTCCTACGCCGAAATAGTCGCTACCAATTTTCTCGATTTCTCGCTTTCTCTGAGATCTGACTCGTCGTAATAAAAGTTTGTAACTTTGTTGCAAAGCAGGAGTGATCTTGGGATTTTGTGATGCTCATCTGTGGTGCTAGGAAGAAGAATCCACTCCAATTTAGCTTGTGGGGAAATGACATCTGAATCGGAGGGAGCTGGTTCAGGAGAAAGTTGGGGTAAAGAGATGGCAAGAGAGTGTCATTTATTTGATCTGATGTGATTTCAGTCTTGCCCTTGTGGCATTATTCGCCAGCAGAGAGATGTTGATACTCTGACACTTTGGGCTACTAGGCTAATGGTCCTTCCCTCGCTCGTCGAAATCTCGCGAGATAAGAGAGGCATCATCACATCATCATCGTGATCATGTGGCGTGGATGGGTGTGAGGAGATCGCTTTATTTTAGGCGACCTCAACCTCAACCTTCTGTCGTATATAGAAGAATTCTTATCTGCCTTCTTATAAATGTGGCGGTGCGTATGAACAAATGGCTTAGCCTAAATTTTATAGCACAAATTCAAATTAGGCAGTAGCAGATTTTCTAACTTATACTTTTAAAGGCCACTGATTTTTCAAAGTTGTCAATATCGTGCTACTTGCTTTCTCTATTCATCATGAAACTATGCAAATTCACCAAATCACTAAAGTCTGAAATTAGCATTTTATTTTTTTTGTGGTAAACATAAAAATTTGGCTTTCTTTCAAATATAGCACAATCTGCTTTCAAAGTGCACTGGTTTTCTACATTATCAATATCGAAAGGATACGATGCGTGCTTTCTCCAGAGTTCAATTCATCGTGAATCTATGTAAATCCACTAAATTACACCAAAGTCTTAAGCACTTCGGCACCTTGTTTAATTTTTGTAGTAAAAATACCTCAAAAACTGGCTTTCTTCCGTTAAACTGGAATATCCGCCCAATAGCACAATCCGGCTACGTCGGCTATGTACCCTACAGCCTCTCGCTTTTAATTCAGGTCACCTTCTCCCTCACCAACTAGTACACAGTCCATACAACTCCAAAAGGTCTGTGTGGTGTGTACTTTCGTACGTATAAGTTATTGAGTTGAGCGAGAAGCATCCCAAAGTTCCATGCACTTTCTATTGACTTTCTTCTCGCGAAGGATTTTGATCATGAAATTGATTCCATCCTCGTTTTTTTATTTTCTTTCACTTCTCATCTAACTCTCATCCACCACCACCACGACCAACCACAAATTCCACCCAGATGCTGCCTAACTTACTTATCATGTCGTACACACATTCAGAAATCGGAAAAATGTTCCCTATAAAGGAAACAGCTACACGGACATATGTCCGAAAATGTAATACTTCCTGTCAGTCAACCCAATTAATTAGACCACATTGACAAAAATTAGTTGTTGAATGAAATTCCCGACAAGAAGAAGAAGAGAATATTTGTATTTAAGACGGGAGATCTCCCTCGCTAAAAATAGCAACGATTCTTCAGTGGACAGGGACCGACGAGAAGAAAGGCGATTAACTCTGACGCAATTTGCTCAAACTTATTTTAAGCTGGATCCTCCAATTCCTTCCATTCCTTTCTATCAAGTCTTCATAAGTTTTTTTAGAAAATGTGTTTATTTTTTGTCCTCAACTTAAATATCTACAGTCCGAGTCCAATTTCATGTGAACAAGCAGTAACGATGGCTTCGTAACAAATCAAAAAGAAGGAGAAGATGAAAGCTGGATTTATTTTAGTGTATGGTTTCAATCAAAATGTTTCAAAGCTTGAATTTCAGTGAGTGAAAGCGTCGAAAATCCTTAACTTGAAAATCCTTCATTCAACGCGAGCTACTAACGAGGGGAAAAAAGTTGAATAACTTATTAGAAATTTAATGACTACTAGTACGCCTAATCCATCCATCATAGCTCACTAAAATGAAGAGACGTTCCTAGGAACCATTCATTTATTTGCGATTTCATAGGTACATATCAGTAAAATCTTGCTCGAAAACGTGGCAACTTTAGGAAGAAAGTTTCACGGAAAAATATTTTATATGTTCAAAATGTGAAAGGCTTTTTATTTTATTTAAGCTACAGGTTAAACAGATTACGTTGAAAACATGTTTTTCATTGCGTGATAAAGAATTAAAAAGTTTTGCACGTTTAGCAGAAGTAAAGTCGAGCGAAAATCTGTTGATATTGCATATATTTTGGGCATAGAATCGCCCTTGCATAAATTTTGAGGTACATACAAGCAGTGGCCGCGGAAGCCGTGGGGGACATCTGGGGACATTAACATTGTAGGATAGGGGAGGGATGGGTTTACATAACATGGGCAGATGATAGGGACATCGAACAACCGTGGGGACATTGTCCCTCTGTCCCCACCCTTCCACGGCCACTGGTTTCAAGGCGAGAGAGAGAAGGAGGCCGACGATGAGGTGGGGCCAATTAACAGTTCGATCCAAACCAATCCAAAATCCCGGCAAGTTTACCACAACCGGACCATGTTCTAAAACCATGATGCAATTCAAAGTGCTTTCACTCCCTAATTAAATCTCCTCTCCGAGTTCTACTCCGCTTTCTCTTTCGCCCCGTCTTTCATGAGGTTGGATGCTTTCAAGTTAAATTTTCATTGCAGTCTGTTAATTGGTCTGTAGGCAACTTTACCTTGTGTACTGCTGCAAATCTACGAATAGTACATAGTCAAACTTTGTGTCAACAGCAACATCCGGTAGAATATTTAGAATATCTATCTGTTGTATAGCTCTTAAACCAAATCCAATATCCCGAATATTGATGCTACGTAAGGCAAAATTGTGCCTAAACTCAATTTCTGCAGAGTGGGTTCGCTGAATGAAGTAATCTAACAATGTTTTGTGGCTTGGCTTGGCTTTGCAGGTGCAGCAGCTTTTAGGGCCAGTGGCCGCGGAAGGGTGGGGACAGGGGGGCAATGCTCCCACGGTTATTTGATGTCCCCATGTTATACAAACCCCTTCCTCCCCTATCCTAAAATGTCAGTGTCCCCCAGCTTCCGCGGCCACTGTTTAGGCCAAAAGTAGTATTTACTCTTCGAACCAAGTGGAAAAACAATTCTGCTGAATCATCAGCTACTCGAACGAACGAAAAACAACATGTGGGTTGGTTAAATTATGTTTTAAATAGTTTGGTTGATGAACTTGTTTGCTTTTTAAGCGGAAATTCAAATTCGTTGGAAATTCTATATTTAACTTTTATTTTTTTAGGACTCACCGTTAGCTCCCTTATCAAACTTCTGAGACCCATGTATCGTTTCAGAAGACGGTAGAGATCATTAATTAATTGCGTGTTTTCCGCTTCAATTTGGGTTGATGTCATATCTGAAAAGAATAATTTTTGAATGTATAAAATTCCGAGTAGAAATCGCTTTGTCAAATTCTGCAGTAATCGACAAAAGCTGGATGCATGTTGTACTCTGCATAATTTTTTGCATGATCGTGCAGAATAAAATTTCTACGGATTTTATTCTGCAGAATTGTATGTGAAATATGTAGTGCGCATAGTTTTCTGCAAAAATCGCTCTGCATACAGTTTTTCTGCAGAAAATTGGGCCAAATTTCTGCAGGAAAGTCGTTCAAATTTTTATTCCGGATATTTTAAGCTAATTATGCATTATTTTAGGAGCACACTTTTTCTGCAAAAAAACTGGGCCAAATATCTGCAAAAAAGCCGTTCCAATTTTAACCCTAGTGCATATTTTATGCGAATTATGCATTATTTTAGGGATTTGCAAATTGAAACATTTTGCATACCTTCTAACCGTTCCTTTTCCTCCTTGATCTTGTCCTCGCTCTCGACTGGCTTGTCCCTGTCGGCCGGTTTCACCTGCACTTTCTCCAGAGCGGAACACGCTCTCAGCACGAAAGCCGGCACCGGTTCGCCCTTCTCCTGACGTGGCACTTCCAACAAAGTCCAGTACTGTTGCTCCAGGCGAACGACCTCCTAAAATATATTTAGAAAAATAAATATCTATGTAAATATTGCGTCAGTTTTCTTTTGCGGTTTAAAAATTACTTGTACATAAAGTGATTTATTTTGCATAACTAATCTTTCCATTGCTTTATCAGAGATGCACAAGCACACTGTTAAAAATCTGGTTGAGTCAGATATCTACTCCGTACTGGTATGTATTTGGTAATAACTTTTTACCAGATTGGTAATAGTTTACTTATGAGTGGCAAATTTTGTTTTGCATTACCACAACGTTACTAAACGGTAATGCCAATTATTACCGGGCCGGTAGAGTCACATATGTACTCCGGTCAGTAATGATTTATTACCAGTTTTCCAAGAGTGAATTGAGTTGGTAATAACTTTTTACCAGCTTGGCAATAGTATACTTATGAATGATCCATTTTGCTTTGCATTACCACAACATTACTAAACGGTAATGTCCGTTATTACCAGTACCGGTAGAGTCATTTATGTATGTAATCCGGTCAGTAATGATTTATTACCAGTTTTCTAAGAGTGCAGGTTCTTTTCTAATCTAGTATATATTAATTCTGGAGAGAATATTGCATAATAATTTGTTGGAAAGAAATCCCCTTCAAGATTGCGTTTTTTCTTCTTCTTTAATCCTTTTTATCTCTGAAACGTCCCGAACAGATGGTAAGCTTCATATTGTATTCCTTTGACTGATTCTTTGACGTATGTATGTAATATGTATGAAAAATGTGCATTTTCAAGTTTACGTAATTTGAAGACTGTATCATATGTAGCGCACTCACGCAAAAAACATGTGAAAATGTCAAGGTCTACTTGAGAGCAGAGTCCTCCATTTGTATTTGCGAAGTAACAGGCCATTAAAGCAGATCAAAAACTAAGTAAGTACATATTTTGTATCTTGAGCAGACGAGCAGAAAAAGATTTAATGGAAAACTCGCTCAGTGTATGTAACTTGGCCTGGCCCGAGTCAGAAAATTTACGATTTAGGATAAAAGCAAGTAAGTAATGTTAATATTCCAACTTGGTCGTTGCATTGCATTTATACTTAAATATTTCCCTTAAATTTAGAGATAATTGATCAAAACTGAGCTTGGTTTTCATCCGAACAGACGAAAAACACGACGAGTACATAACACTCGAATTTTGATATTTTCAAGTGTCACATTCCGCTTCGTGTTCGCATAATGGAGGATCAGGTTATGTACATCGCTTTTTGAAAGGGCATGTGGAGGAGGATATTAAAATCTCTTATTCTGCAACTAGAATCAAACGATTTACAAACATCACAAGTAAATCAAACCGTATTCATAACAATGGGCAGCTTCGTATCGTCAAATACAGACAAATATGTGTAGTGCCACTTTCCACGTGGGTGGGTGTCACATGCACATTTTATGCATGTTCATATGTTCATAAATGTTACGCTGTGTATGATAATGACGTCTGTAAAAATTCCGACGCCAACACAAACACATAATCGTATCATTTTTTACCACTTTTATTACACCATCTTCACCCAAGTTTCCTCTTTCATGGGTAAAAAAATACTTTAGAATGTTCCACACAAACAAAATATTTTTTAACTTTTCATCTTTAAAACTGGAGACGCACACAAATATTATTTTTCGCAATTAATAAACTATTTAATCTTCTTATGCTTGACATAAGTCAGCAGCAATTAAATTGGCAGATTAAAATAGTAACGTATGTATTGTCTTCAGCTTTTTCAGACTTTTTGAATTGTACATACGATTCCCTTCCAAAAGTTGTTTGTTTCTTCGCTAATAACCTTAGCACAAACTTTCTCCACTATTGTTGCATGTATATATTCCCATTTTACTTCATCCATATACCGACATACGCATGTACATAAAGGGTATTTTTTAGTTAAAGCAAAAGTTGGAAAGTCAAGTCATAAATTAAACGGTAAGACAAGAACAAGGGCACGGAGACTAACTGAAAGTTAAAGTTGAGAAAAGTTTAAATTACTTAAAGTTGAAAGTTATGTATGCTTAGATGCTTAGTTGTAATATTATTACTATTTACTACATGTTTGAAAATGCATTCGACCAAGTCGGAGCCTGTCCGACCGAACTACGACCGCAAACATTGTAAAAGTTTACCAAATCAAGATAAAGCAACAAGTTTTCAGCAGTGGTTACGTACCTAAAATGTGAGAACAATTTCCATTTTCGGCGTATGTATGAGACTCGTTATCGGGAGAATCTAACGTGTCATTACAATTTACATCTGATAAGTGCGACAACAGCTTATTAAAGATTGTAAATATCGATGATAAGATGGCACCGAAATTTAATTATTTTGGACATAAGTTCTAAAATATTTCGTTATGAGTGACTTTCACTCAATGTTTCGTTTCTTGCGGTTTTGCAACATTTCTTTCACTGCAAAGCAAGAAACGCAAGAAATGCAAGGTGCAAGAAACTGGGAGAAAGTGCAAAAAATATGCACCATCTTGAGAAATATAGCGGCGGGACGTAGTTTCTTGCGCCTTGCATTTCAAAATAATTACCTGCAAGAAACCTACTTTCTTACCGTTATTTCGTGCAAGTAGTTACTTTCACTCGAAACACTGCTTTCCCTTTAATTTTACAGTATTTATTAGCACATCACAAGTTGTTACAGGCCAGGTTAATGCATAACCAAACTGTGAAATTGTGCGCAAAATTCGTATTGATTTAGCACAGATTACTCAACCTCACCACTACTATGCAACCATAATGGTCAATATATATGCCACGTGGTGTTTGTTTTCGCCAAGGATAACAAAATCGGAATTCACGAAACTGGGTATTATCTGACACATCGTCAAACACCATGTTCCCAGAATTTCATTTCATCTCACCTCAATGAAGTTTGGTAATAACTGGAACTGGCAATTTTCATTAGTATTTGCGGTTCATCAAAGCAAACTTCATCCTATTGGTGGTATAAAGGGTGACTGTGAACTATTCGTCTACTTACCTAACCGCCAAGGCCGATCTACATTTTCAAACTGTTTGAATAGTAATACTTCTAGTGTTTTGTTATGTAAAATGTATGCAGAAGTACAAATACGTCGGGCAACAATGTAAACATTACGGAACGACAGACACGCAATGTCGTAACGAGACTTCGGCACAGGGTTCGGAAAAACCCAGGGTTTTAATGAAAAAGTAACGACCCAGGGGTTTTAATGGGTTTTAATGGGTTTTAATGGGTTTTTTGGGTTTTAATGGGTTTTATGGGTTTTATTGGGTTTTATTAGGTTTTACATAAGCAATACATTGAACAACAATTTTCACTACTATTGCAATCCAATTTCAGTTAATATGCAAATCCTCCTTGTCCATGTTAGAATTTATATCCGTTTCGAAATGGTCCTATTTAACTGATCATAATCTAATACTTTATGTGACCATAATTAATTACATATATTACCTTTTTCTCGAATGCTTCCTCTCATCATAATGAAATCCAAGTTGTTTAAACTTTTTAAAATTGAATATTTCAATGCGATCTTAACGTGTATTATCAATTCTGGAAAAAATCGAGTACTTATGGAACAATGAAACTCATGGAACAACAAAAGTACGTATGTATTATGATCAGGAATATAATAAGTGATTTTTACAGACACACTTCTTTTGCTCATAATAAAGTACTTTGTTGTCCATAAGTACTCGATTTTTTCAGAGGCGATAATTAAGATCGCCTTGAAACATTTAAAAAAAACTTTATAAATTAAAAAAATACTATAGTATTTTGTTTAATTTATTCGCTGAGATGAGAGGAAGTATTCGGGAAAAAAGTATTAATTATGACAGCAAAATGTAAATTAAATGTAATTAAATTATGTATGCTCAGTTAAACATACCTCGTTCCGAAATTATTTTTTATTTATTTTTTGTCACTTGAAACCTGTAATGGCACTCGCTGATTTATTCCTGGTTTTCAAAACTTACAGTATTAATCAAATAGACTGCTAGCTGCCATAAAACAACTTCGTCTAACGTATGACAGCTGTTTTCAGCTTTTAGAATATAGTTTTAAGCTGAAACACAGTTAAAACCCATTAAAACCCGAATAAAACCCATTAAAACCCAAATAAAACCCATTTAACATGGTAAAACTCAATGGGTTTTATTCGTTAACAACCCATTAAAACCCAAAAAAACCCAACCCAATAAAACCCTGGGTCGGAATACCCTGCTTCGGCATGATAAAGAAAGTGAGACGTGCATTGATCCACTACAAATGCATAAAGATACAGTGGCAGCAGAAGTTTGGGGGACATATGGGGACATTTGCATTGTGAGATTGGAGGAGGAGGGACTTATTACGACAATTTTCCTGAATTTCTGAGGGCACAATGTGCCCCTGCCCCCGCTTGCTTCCGCCGCCAATGGTCCCGTATTTATATAATCTTCCTACCGTCCCCCGATTGCAAATGAGTCCTTCGTGAGATAATAAACTGCAATGATGCAGAAATAAGTTTCCTATTTTATGCGAGAGACATGTGCCCCATTAATGAGAAAGTTGGAACAGCACGCTAGAGAGAAATAAGCAAATAATTCGTGTTGATTTTACCAAATGTCTTCTTTTCCAGATGGACTAGGGACGGAAGTCATGTGCGGTGCACAGTGGCCGCGGAAGCCGTGGGGACATCTGGGGACATTAACATTGTAGGAAATAGGGATTTATATAAGATGGGGAGATGATGGGGACATCAAACAACCGTGGGGACATTGTCTCTCATCTGTCCCCACACTTTCGCGGCCACTGGCAATACATAACGTCGTCGTGTCTGTGTGTGCATGCATGTCTAGGTTCGCCGGGTTCCTTTTTCCGATCAGACAAAGTGGATTACTCTGTTTTTGTAAACATTGAAAAGTTCCTCCACTATTTGAAGAGCTCTAATTACATACATGGCAAGGATAAATTTTAGAGATTAAACGTAATCTGAATTGAATTCGGAGCCAAGCGAGCGAGCC